TATATATATATATATAAGAATAGGGGTAGTAGAAGAAAATATTAAAGGGTTCAGTGAGGATCCTCAAGGTCTTCTCTGAATAATTTTTATTTTCTTCTCCGATAACGGTAATCATTAAAAAAAACAATTAGTATGTCTGGGTTAAAATGTTCATCATAATGAGTTAGATCTCATTTCCTCGCAGTCACTTTTAGGCAAGCCACGTTAGGTAAGCACTTGTAGCCCTTGAGGCCGTCTCGTGTATCTAATTAGAAGAGTCAGTCATTCATCTCAGTGCTCTCAGTGATGCCGCAGTCCCGCAACGTTTATCAAAGGCTCCTCTCTATATACATTTTCTCTTTTCAATAAAGAAAACGAATACAACTTAACCACTTACTTATGTATTTATCATTAACCTCCATCAGATTTTGGGTTTCTGTAGTCAGAGACAGGAAGGCTGTTAGGCTTATCAAGGTCCCCAAGATGCAACTCACAACACTTGCCTAGCTCCTGGGAAGTTGTTTACTGTCTGATGAACAGCGGCATCAAATAAAAGGAAATGTACTGTCGAGGTCATCCTAATTACAACGAAAGATCACCAAAAACAAAGCACAATAGTTGATTAACTCCTAATGGCCTAATTACTGCTAAGAGAACAGAAGTTTTAGTAGACACACCATATATTCCATGTCACTTAGCAAATATAGCATTCTGATACGGCCAACTTGTAGTTATGTTTTCCTTCTGTATTTTGTCAGTAATAAAATTACAAAAACTGCCACTGTGTTCTTGGTTTTATTTTTTCTAGTATCAAAGCCTTCCGAAACAACACTTATTATTTACATTTATATTGACAAACTTAAAATACATTAATTTTTAATGGAAGTAACTAAAACAGGAGAGAATCAAACTTAATGTACTTGACTCAGTTCCGTACATACACATAAGGGAAATGGCTGGTCTGTATGTATTCTACAAAGTTCACAAAATACATAAATCTCCATTTAGCTTCTCTACAGCATCTTCTCTCGAGAGTAAGCTTCCAAACAACAACTGCTGCGTTAAGTGAGAACCAGCTTGGTGTTCTCTTTGCACAAAGAGAGATCTGATATTACACAAACCTCTCTAATTAGAAGCTGACAAGAAATTCAATAGAGTGGAACAGGTCCTTGTGAGCATTATAAACTCTAACGCTTATGTGAAAAAAGACCATTAAATGCCAGGTAAACAAATATATTGCCTCCGATAAAGAGCTCAACACCTCATAATTTATACCACTTATTATACTCTTCTTTAGACGCTTATCTTGTAATGGTCAAACGAAACAGAGGAAGGAGCTCTGAGAGACGATCGGCAGAAACATGACCTCCCTAACTAAGAATGACCAGAAGATACAGAAGAAGTAGGAAGGTCGATAACTTGCTCACTGACAACTTGCAAAATCTCCAGACACTTGCGAAACGTCTTGAAAGAGACAAATGTCGTCTCATGCCCACCTGAGAACTGTCAGCCCCAACGATCTCAATATACAAGCAAGACAACAACATCTGTTAATATATATATATATATATATATATATATATATATATATATATATATATATATATATATATATATATATATATATATATATATATATATATATATATATATTGGCTAAATGTTTTTCAGACACGTTATTATGACTTTTCGTCTGTATATATATTGTTTGTGGGCATCAAACAATCAGTCAGGGTATTGTTTGAGAGCGCTCTCACTGTCGCGCGCTGTTCGTCATATCTCTTTATCACTGCGTGTGTAGGTATGATGTGTGTGTGTAGGCCTATCTACTACGGGTTGGCATAATTTGGGCCACCACAATAGCTTACTGATCAATCTCCAAGTATATAACCTAGTCCTTGAATATAGGCCAGGACTAAAGTAAACTCAGTAGGCTGGGGTCAGAGGAGTGGGCTGGGGTCAGAGGAGTGGGCTGGGGTCAGAGGAGTGAGCTGGGGTCAGAGGAGTGGGCTGGGGTCAGAGGAGTGGGCTGAGTTCAGAGGAGTGGGCTGAGTTCAGAGGAGTGGGCTCGGTTCAGAGGAGTGGGCTGGGTTCAGAGGAGTGGGCTGGGTTCAGAGAAGTGGGCTGGGTTCAGAGGAGTGGGCTGGGTTCAGTACTCTAGACAGGGACGAGGTTGGAAGATCGAAGACTCCAAAATCGTCCCACACAGACGGACAGGAAACTCCTCAATCATGGTGATAATTCCTTAATAAACCGGTATTATCTTTGCTCATTTTCACTCTAGTTATTTTTAGTTGACATTATCAGCTTCGTTCTTTATTTTTTTATTTCAAAACTCATTATTTTATTATCGCGAGGACTCTGTGAGGCGTGAACAAATTACTGAGTTAATATATATTTATCTGCAATATATATTTAAATATTTAATTATTTTATATATCTGTCATTTACATACGTTTTCCCAAGTGTAAATATTACGGTCTGTAATATCCCTTCAGTTCGAGTCTCGCCACTACGCAAAAATGTATATTTTTTTACTCAAAAGAAAAAAATACTGTAAACTCGATAAACGACGAATAACAGATGATTTTGTTAAATAATTCTAAGTCTTCCTAGGGATTTGACCCTCGATATCTCAGAACAGAACGAGGGTCGTCTTGATGTATATGGCTCTATGAATCTACATGGAATACACCAGTATGTGTGTTATAATAATCTGAGTGCGTCGTACGTAATTAACTCCAATGGTATACTTCTTACCCTCTCGCTGCTCTCCACATTCTTACGTTACATGTTGCCTTCATCACTCGTCATGTGACTTGATTGTCCGAGGCTGACCGAAACGTCATTACTTTCTTTATTTTTAGTTGTTTGGTTTGGGTGTCCTGTGTGTGTTTGTGTACTCACCTAGTTATGCTTGGAGGGGTTGAGCTTTGGCCCCGCCTCTCAACTGTCAATCAACTGGTGTACAGGTACCTGAGCCTACTGGGCTCTTATATTTACATTTGAAACTGTGAATGTATGTGCGTGTGTTTGCTCGCGAGTTAATTATACCAGTGTGTGTGTGTTAAATACACCAGTTTGCTTGTGTTTGCTAATTAAAACATTAGTGTATATGTGTTTATATTCTAAAACACAAGTGTATGTGTATAATAAATACATTACTGTGCGCGTATTTATCTTATCAATACACCAGTGTGTGTGTATTTGTGTAAAAACTTCACTCTTGGTTTCACAAGCTGTTCAGCTTTGATTAGCGTACTTCAGCACATACATTAATTATCTGGAAAGGCTAAGCAGAGGCGTGACAAAGTAAATTCCCACCATCGTAAATTTTCCTTCGCAAAACACGGCCTTGAGTGGAAAGGAAATAGCTGGAAATATTTATATATAGATGAAACACCTTACGAAAGAGGATATAAATAGGATTGAAAATATCAACCAAAGACAAAAAGAACTCTTAAATATATATTGAAATGTTACCATATAGTTAGGAACTGATATGGTAGTTGTCAATGGATGGAATACAATGTCAAGCAGCATCACTGAAATAAAAATATACCTGAGGGAAGGGGGGATCGCTCTGTTGATGTTTAATAATGGGTTGAATAAGAAATAGGTGTAAATAAGATAAAGAGGTTTAGGAATTGGATGGACAGATACTAGTGTGAATAAAAGAGAGGTTGAAGAATAGATTGGACAGCCATTAGTAGTGAACGCGGCTGAATGTCAACGGAACACTGTCATATGACAGTGTAATTGTTGCACCTTTCATTATGCACTCTAACCCCGTCCCCACCTTCCCAAACAAAATATTCTTGTAAACTCTCGCGCCCCTTCGGCCACTGTTTACATTCATGGGTGAAAAGTTTACACCTCAGTTAAGGTTACAGTGAAGCGCCCCTGACTCACTCGCCTGAAAATACTGATGTTGTGGGTCGGGTTTTCCGTCTACGAAATGATACATCATCCAACCTACTGTCCACACCTGTCTTGAAGATGCGACGGCTGTTGCTGTGTCGAAGACCTACTGTCATCATCACTCCTGAGGATATGACGGTTGCCGCTGTTCACCTGAGCTTGTGAGAGCCCAGGTGCTCTTTCGAACGTAGGTTCGAACCCTTGTGGATTTGTTTTTGAGAGAGCCCTTCCTGTGGGTGAGTGGACAATACCTACCCTCGACCTCGAAGAAGAGGGTATGTAGCATCCACGAGTCTTGTGGGGCACCCTCGTATATATATGTATGTGAGGTTCTGTTGCCATCGTAAAAGCACATCCGTCACTATTTATGGTTTAGTGCTCAACAGATTACTATGTACTATAGCAGACGAAAATGTATGCATACTGGCTAGCATTGTTTTATTATATAGCTAAGTCTGTGGTAGAAAATATAAATAAAAACACACAGCTGCATCTAGAAGGTTCAGAAATATGCAATCAGACTAGTCCCAGGACTGGGAGATATGAGCTACGAGGAAAGGCTTCGTGAAGTGAACCTCACGTCACTGGAAAACAGACGAGTTAGGGGCAAACATGATAACATCATTTAAAATTCTCACGGGAATCGATAGGGTAGACAAATTCAAATTATTTAACATGAGTGGTACTCGGATAAGGGAACACACGTGAAAACTGAATACCTAAATGAGCCACAGAAATATTAGTAATACTTTTTTCAGTGTCAGTAGTTAACAAACGAAATGCACTAGGCAGTGATGTGGTGGAGGCAGACTCCATACACAATTTTAATAGTGATATGATAGACCCAAATAGGCTCTGGAACCTATACACCAGTTTATTGAGAGCCGAAGCTCAACCCCCGCGCAAACACAATTAGGCGAGTACACACACACACACACACACAAAATCAACATTTTTAAACCATTAGCATACCTAAGAATCACCCCAGGAACCACATATTTACACTGCAAGAGCAGTCATCCCTCGGAGCAGTGCGGGAGCCACAGGTCAGAGCACGGCGTAGAACCACCACTCAGGCAGGAAATTGTTATCGTGTGTTTTTTATGATAACGTCAAGAGCAGGCGTCCAGAGACCAAGGGTTTCCACCGGCATACAGAGTCCGCACGCAACAGTCGCCTTCACAATTTCGTGGAATCGTCACCAAATACGCATAAACTACTGAAATATGTTTGTGTTTGTGATACTCGAAATAGGCACAATTTATAGTGTTAATCAGTTGTTCGTAAACCTGTCAATGTGGGATTCAGCAAATTGATTAGCCGAATAAATTGATTCGCGGCGGGCAAATCAATTTATTCGCATGATCAACGCGGCTGGCGTTGATCATGTGAATAAAGGCGGCTCTGTGGTGATGTAAACAGGGAAGAAACATGGTCATAGGATAGAGAGTGTGTGAGGGTGCGGTGTGTGGCCGGATGGGGTAAGGTGGAGGGAGGGGGGCTGGTGGTGTTGAGATGAGGGTGGGGGGGATAGGAGGAGGGGAGGAGATGGAGTAGAGGATGTGGTAAAGCCTGGCCGGCACTTCCAAGGCTCTCCCAGGCACTCATTGCGTACCAGTCTCGTGAATATGACAAGGATACGCTTCGTTCGCTCACCAGCTTCAAACAGTGAATTATTTTATTACAACCTGTGCCATTTATTTTTGTAATAACAGAGTCAAAATAGATTTAGGAATGCCTAGATAACGAGTGCAGACTTTTCTTGTGCGAGTGAATTCTACGTAAACTATATACGTATATTTCGTTTTCTAAGATTTTTAGTGATGATCCCAGATAGTGTCTAACCTAAGCAAAGGAAAATCGTACTTCATGTTGAAGGTGCCATGAAGGCAAGCCACCAGAGGGTCGTTCTCGTGGCACTGCTGCTGACCGGACTGGCCCTCCTACCTGCCTCAGTGGAGGGTGAGGCTGGTGACTCTTCCTTGGAGGACGCTGAGAGACCCAAATATGACATCCCCACTGTCATGAAGCACGGAGGGCAGTACTACTACGACCTTGCACAGTCGACGGAGGAGGAATGGACGCTGGATGCGAGTGGGGACTCGGTGAATGGGGTGACTGCGACGGAGAACAGTTCGTGCATCGTCAAGAGACTCTTCCTGGAAGGTTATGTCGTAGACGAAGACATATTCAACTGCAGCTTGGACAGCCTCGAAATGAACAGTAAGATACCTCAAGAACTTCACTTGTTTTAGAGGCTAGGGTACATTTAGTTGTTTTTTGATAGGTTAAGTTTACGTTGTCTTGAATTTTGTGTTTTTTGTTTTCAATCTCTCGACCAATTCTTCAGTCTTCATTAGTTCAACATGTAAATTGTTTTCTCTGCAAAACAGTCCACATTTAGTATTCGTAAGGAACACACGAAGCACTGCATAATGGACCACACAAGCCTCTGAACAATGAACAACATAAACCCTTGTACAACGGACTGCATGTACTTGTGTACAACAAATCGCACAAACCCTTGAACAACGGATTGCCCATACCCCTATACAACGAACCACATAAACCGGAGCAATAGACAACACCAGTGGAGCCACACAAAACCCTATACAGCGGACAACAGCAATGAGGGGCCCTCTCTCGTACAACGAACAACAGCGAATAGCCAGCCATTCAAACCCCCCTATACAACGGAAAGCAGCAACGGAGCCACACAAACGACCTTACAACTCAACCACTCGCCTGTAAACTAAAATAGCCTTTTGTTTATCGAACCGCCTCCCCTGCCCCCCTCAACACCTACACACACCAGATCTCCAAAGTTAGACACTTGAGATACACATTTTTTTTTAAACACCTGCCAGCCCCTGCTCCCGGATTCCTCGGTGATGTTTGTGGCTCACGTTTCCAGGAACACCCCATCGTACGACAGATATGTGCCCTCTTGCTAACATTACATAACCTAAACATTAACTAAAATATTACTTTTCAACATCGCATTTCCGACTTTTTCACTTCCTCCAACATAGAGTCAGCGTTACCTTCCAAAACATTGGATTGAATAATAATAATAATAATAATAATAATAATAACAATAATAATAATAATAATAATAATAATAATAATAATAATTTGTAATACAAAAATATAAAGAAAAAAAATCATTTAGTGATTGCTTATTTGTTGCATAGAGTTGCAAAATCCAATAAAATCACGATTACCAAAAGTATTTCGGCAACTAGTTGTGTTGTATATTTCGTTTTGAATTTAACTATATATATATATATATATATATATATATATATATATATATATATATATATATATATATATATATATATATATATATATATATATATACATCACAAACAATCAACATATTACTGACTATTCTGAGTGATAAACATATACATTTCTTCCTTTACACATGCAGTACGTTACCAGACGTATATCCAAGTACTTTTATGAAATACTTTTATGACTAGGAACACAGACAATTTGAAATAGACATTCAGATAATTCAACAAAGTTACAGTCTTGTACAAAATTTTTATATTTCTCCAGAATATCATCAAGGAAGGCTCGAAGCATCATCATGGCCCATTATTTTTATATGAGCGAAGTGGGTTGTTTAATTAGCAAGAGATTAGTCAATATAAATGACAATACGTTTGTTGCAAGGTCTAATTTCGGTTCCAGGTGAAATTAAATGAATTACCAGCTATCAATATTGAATTTAACTATTTAGAAATTATTAATAACAAATAATAGATAGATACAAGACTGAAAATGGTTTGATTTAAATAGGACCTGCCACACTTAGGCCTACGATATCCTTCTCTGAATTTTATATGTTCCGTTGTTAATTTTAAAACACTCTCGATTCTGACACAGATACGAAATTCCACTGTACGCAAAACTTGACGATGTTTTCCTATCTGAACGAAACAGTCAACAGAACGTACGAATGTGATGAGATTTACTGCTGGGGAGCAAAGAAGTATTCTGAGTACATCCGATACTCGAGATGTCTTCTTAAGACTGGTCTCGCTATCTGGGAGAAATACGTGAGTTGTCTGAGGATTTCTCTTTGTTATCTAAGGCGGGATATTTGAAGAGGTTGAGGCACTGGAGTGATGAAAATTCTTTCCTTGCACTTCAGTTTTCTTAATTGAAATGTTTCAGTTGTAACCTTAAGTTTATTGTTATGTTGTCTTTGTATGATTATGTGTTGATTTTAAAAATATGTACTGTGTCTGAACATTATTTGTTTATAACAAATTTCATTCCAGATTAAATGTTTTAGTTGTAATATGCTTAAAAACCGGTTTCATAAATTTGCCCGTTTTGGAAATTACGCATTTTAGTAAGGTAAATATATTTTGAGTATTTTGAAACAAAAGTAATTTTGGATAATATATTTTTCTCATTTCTCTCGCTCTCCCTCTCTCATTCATAAAAATTCACAAAGCTTATCAGTAACCTTGCAGTTTACCCTTACCTAGCAAGAAGCACGGTGTCCGCAGGCTTGTCAGAGCTGCGTCTGGTACTTCAAGAACAAAACTCTTGAGAGAGTCAGCATCGGCCTACGATACAAAATACTCAAAATATATTTTGAGTATTTTGAAACAAAAGTAATTTTGGATAATATTTGTGATTTCTCGCTCTCCCTCTCTCATTCTTAAAAATTCACAATGCTTATCAGTATTTTTTACCCTTACCTAGCAAGGAGCACGGTGTCCGCAGGCTTGTCAGAGCTGCGTCTGGTACTTCAAGAACAAAACTCTTGAGAGAGTCAGCATCGACTGTGATGCTGCCAATCTCACCGACTCCACCCTGCCTACCTTTCCCAGGAACGTTCATATTCTCAGCTTGAACTCAAACAAGGTAATTCAGATTGTTACCAATTGCAAGTTTTCGCCTGTGATAACCCTTGACACGGGTGCTTAGATTCTCATGTGTGGCAATGTGTTTCTGTGGACTGTGTTGTTGATGATATTCAATATCACAGCAAATCTAGAATAAAATATTTTAGTGTCTCTAATATTTAAATGATCCGGTCTCAAACTTTTTTTTTATAAAGAGCTGTTATCATATAAGTGAATTTAAGTGATTTTAAAGATTTATTGTTTAATTGCAACTCGTATCCTCCATCCTCACTAATCCAGCAGCCATCTCCTTGTTCATGATTGAACAACTGTTCACACTAAAACCCATTTTCAGGCTCCACACATACATGGTAAGACTGGCGCCAAAGAGCCTTCCGTAAATTTAATTAAATCACAATTTTTGCTCAAATGTAAATTAATTATGTTCATAGTTTGGCCTAGGAGGGTTCTTCTCGGCCTACTATGCAGGGCCCGATTTGCCTAATAGGCCGAGTGATTTTATTTATTTTCAACAAAAAAAATCAATTTTTTTTATTTGAAATATTATCAATATATTATATTAAAAACATGAATTATTGACTTAGTTATGTTAGTTTAAGTTAAAATAGGTTAAGTTAAGTTAGGTAGAGTTGGTAAGGTTCGGTCATATATCTACATTAGTCTTAACTCAAATTAAACAAAAATAAATCATACATAGTGAAATGGATAGCTTTATCATTTCATAAGAAAAAAATTGAAAAATATATAAATTCAGGAAAACTTGGCTTATTAGGCAAATCGGGCCTTGCATAGTAGGCCTGTAACAAACTAGGTTTATTGTAGGAATTATTCAGTATGGTTTCTCATAGACTATGGAGGTTTGGAAAGTTAGAGTCAGGGGCCTCGTAGCCTGGTGGATAGCGCGCAGGACTCGTAATTCTGTGGCGCGGGTTCGATTCCCGGACGAGGCAGAAACAAATGGGCAAAGTTTCTTTCACCCTGAATGCCCCTGTTACCTAACAGTAAATAGGTACCTGGGTGTTAGTCAGCTGTCACGGGCTGCTTCCTGGGGGTGGAGGCCTGGTCGAGGACCGGGCCGCGGGGACACTAAAGCCCCGAAATCATCTCAAGATAACCTCAAGATAGGCGGTAGTTTGACCTGACCCAAGCACAGGGTCATCTCTCCTGAGATTAGCGGTTTAGGTCACAAAATGGCCGGCGCCTTTGTCTTAAGCATTTTCTCAATTCTCTGTATATATACACCGATAGTTTCTTTGAGTCTATCTTTGTTTTATCTTCTTTGTTGGATGTTCAGTTAAATATTGTGAGGACGCTAGGAACCATACAGAGGTTGATAGGCCATAAGCTCAACACCAAATTAAACCAATCTTCTGTTTTTATCTATCTAAAGATTATCATCTTCATTTTCGCTTCAGCTAAGGGCGGCGGAGACGCTGCTGAATCACCTGAAGACTCAAACGAAGCTTGAAGTCATCAATTTGGACAAGAATGAGATCACTGCTATCCCGTGCCTCCCTCAAAATCTCATACCGTCCCTCGTGGAATTCAACATGCAAAGCAACCAAATACAAGAGGTAATAAGTTCATCCTACCAAACCGGGATTACAGTCCTGGAAATCAAGATAATGGAAGATATAACTCATCCAACCACTTGGACTGGACGGTAGAGCGACGATCTCGCTTCATTCAGGTCGGCGTTCAATCCCCGACCGTCCAAGTGGTTGGGCACCATTCCTTCCCTTCGTCCCATCCCAAATCCTTATCCTAATCCCTTCCAAGTGCAATATAGTCATAATGGCTTGGCGCTTTCGTCTGATAATTCCCTTCCCACTTGGACGGGATTTTAGTTATGAAAGCTCCAGACATTTCTGAAAAATAATGTAACACAAATGGGTGTTTATCTCTCCAAGACGAAATCTTACTAGTAAAACTGGGAACTTTGGAAACATATAAAAAAAACATAAACTCAGTTAATTTACATAAATGCAAATGTGAAAACCCCCTGGATGAGGACCAGGAATCGAACCATCGTCCTGGTTAACACCAGACGTGCGCCATACCCCTTGGCCACGACGTGCTAAAAGCTACTAAACCTAGTTCGATCTCCCGTCCTGCTCGAAAGTGATTTTCTCATAGTAACAAAACGTCCTTGAAATTTCACCTTGTGGTCTGGTCAACAAATTTCACCTTGTGAATACAAACCTGTTAAGTATTTTAAACCCACCCTTCACAAACACCTTCTAATTAGTATTACCATAATTCATAAATTTCCTAAACTAATACAGTCAGAAAACTTCCTTTCAATTATTAGATAACTTTTAAATAATTTACTCAAATTAATACATAAAACAAATAAAACAAATTGAAGACCACTGCGAGGCGTCCAAAAATAAACCTCAAATTTATTAGATGATAAAATGTTGGCTAAATTGCATCTGTTTACAGTGCCTAAGTATACATATCACACTCACATTCATAAGGACCTACGGGCTCACCATAGTCCGTGCTACTTGGAACTGTTTGTTCCAAGTAGCAAATCTTGAACAACAACAATCATAACGGAGATCAGGAATATATACACCGAAAGGTGTTCCCTGCTTCATGATATATATACTTGATGTATATACTTGGGTTAATTATAGTCTTGGAATGTGTTCAGTATTAAACTGTACTTGTTGGTTTGTCGTTTAGATACTGTGATGGCTTCTCCCGTGGTTGATAGGCCTTCAGCCCAATACCAAACTAGGTCTCACCCTTGCTAATAGCTTTCTCCCATTTTCACAGCTGGATCCGAAATGCCTTCTTGTGTTGCTAAAGAGAAGGGATTTCGCCATTACGTTGAAAGGGAATCCCTTTCGCTGTGGCTGTAACTTGTTCCACCAAAAGGTAGGTACCAGTTGTGTGTGTGTGATTGTAATTTGTGGCAGCTCACTGTATGGATCGGGTGTGTGTGGCTCTAACCTGTAACAGTTGTGTGTGTGGCTGTAATCTGAATCTGTTGCGTGTGCACTTGTAGTCTCTACCAGCTCAACGTAGGTTTCCGATTAGTGAATCTGACAAAACCAAAAATTTGATTTATATGCATTCACTCCCTCTCACACACACACACAAAGACCCCCCTCCCCCCTCACACACAACCCTCCCCCCAAACTCAGATTCAGAGCTATGCCACCAAACTAGTTCCAGAACTGAGAGGAATGAGCTACGAGAAAAGGCTACGGGAGCTAAACATCATGTCCCTGGCAGACAGAAGAGTAAGGGGAGACATGATCAGCGCCTACAAAATTCTTAGGGCATTTGACAGGGTGAATAAAGACAAATTATTTAGTATGGGTAGAACACGAGCAAGGCGACACAGGTGGGAACGTAGTACCCAAATGAGCCACAGAGACATTAGAAAGAATTTGTTCGGTGTTAGAGTAGTTAGTAAATGGAATGCATTAAGCAGTGATATGGTGAAAGCAGACTCCATACACAGTTTCAAGTGTAGATTTGACAGAACTCAATCGGATCCAGATTCTATACACCAGTTGATTGACAGTTGAGAGGCGGTTCCAAAGAGCTAAAGCTCAACCCCCGCAAACACAACTAGGTGAGTAAACAATTATACATTCAAAACGCCTTTGTGGCTTATAAAATAATATTGGCATATTGTTATACAATCAAATTCATTAATTATTTCGTGGCTTTCTATGTGAGTTCTCGTATTATATTTTCAGCCAGTAATGTTGCAGCGTTTTGGGGAAAGAATAACCATCGTTGACATAACTCTTCTCTCATGCATTAACGAAACTGATAATGTACGTATGACGTTTCCTATTTTTATCCTGTTTTACCTCACCACTTGTTCGCTTTATTGTATATATGTATGCATAAAATGTAAATTGCTGACTGAATACTAGTAGTACTGAGCGGCCATAGTATGCTGCCCCTGATGCCCCAGGGTTTTGTTTTGCTTTGTTTGAGTGTTTGTTTTGCAGAGACCATGAAGGGAACAGATCATTCAGATTGTACAGTTCTTAAATGACCCCTTCCTTATCTGTTCTTCAGGAAACGATTCCGCTGAAGTTTCTCACCGGGGAAGGCTGCGAAGAGAGTATCTTTACCTTTACCATAGACTACTGGATTCTTCTCAACGTAACGCTGGTATCCTTAAACATTTCCATGATCTACCTCATCCTCGATCTGGCTTTGATCCTCACCAACTTCAGAGGGATCAAGAGTACTCAGAGACCGAAGATGGACTACGTGATATGTGGGATAAAGAGTTGTCTCACGTACGTGTGGGGGCCCGGTGGTGTTGGTGGTGGTGGTGGTGGAGGGTTACAGGAGCTGGAGGCTGAAGATGATGTTGAAGACAGGGTTCTAGGCACCGGCAGGTCTTGTCAGCGTGATTCGTGCGTTGTAAGGAGAAGGACACCTCGACCATGTTTTGATTAGGGTGAAGTTAGATTTGTGAGAGGCGTGGGTGGGTGGGGAGAGAGGAGAAGGCGGGTACTAGAGCTGGATCTCAATCCACTAGAAAAACACACACACACACACACACACACACACACACACACACACACACACACACACACATACACACACACACACACACACACACACACACACACACATGCACACACACACACACAGTGTGTGTGCTCACCTAGCACAACTAGGTGAGTACAACTAGGTGAGTACACACTCATTGACCAAAGGGCCAGAGCTCAACCTCTGCAAGCACAACTAGGTGAGTACACACACACTCTCGCACACACACACACACACACATACATGGCTTCTTAAAAGTGTTGGAGATCAACAAACCTACATAAAGTATTCCTTGACAGGTTATTATACACCTGTAGGTTTTAATATCATCACGACTCTTGACGAAACATCTCTACGATGTTTTAAATGTGAATGTCAAATGTTTATATGACGTGTCTGCGACGAATCGATGTTTAACTGTTCTGTTTTCTGTGTGTATTAATATATTTTTAAATATGTTTATGAAAACCATCCGTTGTAGTTTCTGTAATATTTAGTGTATTTTTTGTCTTCAAAGCCAGTCTAAAGTACAAATTGGCCCATTCAAAGTACAGGGAGTAGACAGAAATTTACTTGATAATTCACGGGTCTGGAATTTACAAAACTAATTATAAATCTGGCATTTACAAGGGCATTCCTGGAGCATACCTATAGAGGGTTTCGGGAGTTCTTCTACTCCCCAGCAGACGACAATGTCAGCTGGTATTTATGGATCTTGAATTTACGAGAACATTTGGAATTAGTCATAGACAGCTTGAGGAGGAGATGTAAATCTTTCTGTTTAATGTTGAGCCAATAATTTAGAGTAATTAACTATGTATGTGATATCATTTGTTATCAATATCATCATGATTTCGCTTGGCTCCAGTTCTATAATGCTGATTATTGATTTCCGTTGATTTTCTGTGCATCATCGAAATATATTCATACATTCTTTATCACCAGAATCATCACGCATCATTATCATTTTTCTCGTCATTATATTTAGCGTCATCACAATCTTCAGTCTAATTTTCACCATTGCCTTAATCATCATCATCAACAAAGAAGAGGCACATGTCTATGGATCACAGGACAAGGACAACAGACATTAACAGGGAGATGCTGCTGCTGCTGCTGCTGGCCTCAGGCTCGGTTACCAGTACCTCTGCGAGTCTGCGCCTCCTGCACCTGGCCAAATGTAAACTCTTCACACTAGTCAGCAGAACTATTCACCTACTTAACATCTTTATGTAACTGAATGTGAAAAGGTCAAGAAGTTAGAAAGAATCATATCACAAATGTTCAAGACATGTGTATGTAAGCGTTTAGTTCAAAACGATACACAACTACCAAAACTCTTGGACGAGTATGGTCAGTTTACGGTAGAGCAAAGCACGTGATTGTAAACTTTCCACTGCCGCCCATTGGGAAGGCGTGAGGTGCCTTGTAAGCAAAGCAAATTTTATGTAGCAAACGCAAATTGCTTAGTAGTCTGATTCGTAGATTTATTACATGACGCTGAAACATTTGAGCCTCTCACCCACAAGGTGAGTGAGATCCATAATAAACTAATTAAACTAACTTTGATTCACTCATTGTGTTAGGAAGGGGGCTTTTTGGGACCACGGTTGGGTTAGTTTGGTAAAGACTGTGAATTGACGAACATGTTTACAAACCAGGAAATTGACTTTTTCTCCAGTCTGCAACTTAGCTAAACGAGCTTTGGAGTGAAATTCCTTTACCAATTATGTTCTGTAAAAGACTGTTGATTTATATATTTAAAACCATGTAACGAGCTTAGTAAGACTGTAACGTGTTAGGTATGGGGTCCACTATCACTCACAGGATGGGTATAGGGTCCACTACCACTCATAGGATTTGTCTGTGGTCCACTACCACTCACAGGATGGGTATGTGGTCCACTACCACTCACAGGATGGGTATGGGGTCCACTACCACACCCAGGATGGGTATGGGGTCCACTACCACACCCAGAAGGGGTATGGAGTCCACTACCATACCCAGGATGGGTATGGTGTCCACTACCACTCACAGGATAGGTATGGGGTCCACTACCACACCCAGAAGGGGTATGGAGCCCACTACCACACCCAGGATGGGTATGGTGTCCACTACCACTCACAGGATGGGTATGGTGTCCACTACCACACCCAGGATGGGTATGGGGTCCACTACCACACCCAGAAGGGGTATAGAGCCCACTACCACACCCAGGAGGGGTATGGTGTCCACTACCACACCCAGGATAGGTATGGGGTCCACTACCATACCCAGGATGGGTATGGTGTCCACTACCACTCACAGGATAGGTATGGGGTCCACTACCACTCACAGGATAGGTATGGGGTCCACTACCACTCACAGGATAGGTATGGGGTCCACTACCACTCACAGGATGGGTATGGGGTCCACTACCACACCCAGGAGGGGTATGGAGTCCACTACCACTCACAGGATAGGTATGGGGTCCACTACCACTCACAGGATAGGTATGGGGTCCACTACCACTCACTAGAACCATCATCAACATTGCCATCTCCATCATCAACAAGAATCACTTCACATGCCGCTACAGGCATCATTCATGATCCCCATTAACACCCTACAAGTCGTCTATCAATCATCATCACTCAGGAAGATAATGATCTTCTTCATGTCATTCTCACTCGCAGCATCCAAAACAGTGTCAGGATTGCTGTTCATCTGAACTCTATGATCCCTCAGAGGATTCGAACCCAGGCCGCCAGGGGTCAACAGCTCTGGTATTCTGACCACTGCACCAGCAATCGTCTGGTACAGTCGTCAGAGAAAATAATTTTTTTCCATGACGTACAAATACGACAGGTAGATGTGCCAAAAAATGTATATTTTACTTAAGATATCGAATAAAGATACCAATCATTCTCTCACATATTATTGTAATTTCCGATTCAAATATTTCTTTTCAAGGTGCAAGGATAGAGGATAACGGTTGCATATATTTATATATTTTTGCATAACCACCTGCTTACAGTGATATTCATTACATCAGTGGACCAAATTAGGTCGAAAATTTTAGTGCTAAAGATATTGTATTCAATGCTATCTAAGAAATCAATGGAGAGGAGCCGTGTGGATAAAACGTGCTTGGATAAGAACCCCCTGGATAAAACCTACTTGGATTAGAGTTGCATAGATAGGATCTGCAAGATTAAGAGCTTTAGTGGATAAGAACAACCTGGGCAAAAGCTATATGAATAAGAGTTGTCTGGATAAGGGTTACATGGAAAAGAGCTACGGGATAAGAACTGCATGGACAAAAGATAAAAGTGCTATGGGTAAGAGCTATAAGTATAAGATCAAATGAATAAAAGTTATACGGATTAGAACCCAATGGATAAGAGTTTGATGGATAAAGGTCACATGGAAGACGAGAGTTAACGACCAACATGAATAAGATCTAAAAAAATTGTGAGTATCTTTTCAAAGTATGATGAAGATAGCCTGTTCACTGTCATAGATATCTTTGCAACCTCCATTTTGATAAAGGTGAGCACCAAATAGATTAAGAATTCGTGATATAAATTATATTTTGATTAAGAAATAAATATTCCTCTATTTATGACAAACAGCATGAAGTAGATTTAAGTTAGGTTAGGTTAGGTTAGGATAGGTTAGTTTAATACAGATCATCTTCCCTTCTTCCTGTCACTAACATCATTATAATTCATTTATTTCCATCAGCATAATTTTCAAATTATATATCTCCCATGTTTTTAACATTATCACCATCGCGAGGTTAATCACTGTTCCTAAATTTCATGAAATTTTTTCACCAAGTTCATCAGTATGAAGAAGAGGATGTGCTCTCGAGGATCTATCATCACTGACACCATAGTAAGCTTAAGCATTATATTTGTATATATTTAGATAAGAAAGAAAGATGAATTGAGGTTCTGTCTTTTTTAACGTCTTCAATATAAGAATTCACATCAGTGTCTTCTCAAGCCTATGTTTGTCCAAACAAGCATTCCTGGAATAAATAAATAAATAAATAAATAAATAGATAAATAAATAAATAATATTTATTATTTTAACAAGTATAACACGAATTAAAAAGTTGTATAAATATGGGTTTCAGCTAGATATAGAAATAGTTACCCATAGTTATGAAGCTGGCTAATTCTTCTTTACTCCTTCCTCTTATTTTCTTCCTATTCTTCTTCATCCTCATCCTCATCCTCCTCATCTTCATCCTCTGCGCTTCTGTATAAGGTAATTTGATAATGTAGAACATTTATTTTTTTAATTCTTTCACAGACTTTCACTCTTTTTGTTGGTAATCTGTAATACGTTTGTTTGTGTGTGTGTGTGTGTGTGTGTGTGTGTGTGTGTGTGTGTGTGTGTGTGTGTGTGTGTGTGTGTGTGTGTGTGTGTGTGTGTGTGTGTGTGTGTGTTTATGTGTGTGTGTGTGTGTGTGTGTCTGCGTGTGTGTGCCTCTTGTATCGGTGACATTGTGTTAGATTTTAGAGCATACTGTCTAGTATATTGGTATGTCAATAAGGGTTTTCCAGCTGTTTGTTAATTTTCCCCCTTTTCTAGTGAAATATTGGATATTAACATAAAAGATTTGAGCGCAGCAGGCCAGCGCTCGATCCCCCGATGTCCCAACTGGTTCGTCACTGCTGCTACACTTTATCCACCAGCACTTATCATATCCACATATCCTTTCCCAGTGTTATATAGTCATACTGGCTTTAGTGTTTTCTTCTGATTATTACCTTATGTCCAGAGACTCAGGCTGCTTCTTTATTTTACTCTAAGTTACATGTTGCTCAGATATGTAACACACATGTAACTTTCCTACATGTAAGTAGGAACCTAAAGACAGCCAGGAGGTCTTTACAGCCATTCTGGTATATGTAGTCTATCCGCCTTTCACTTTATAAAGTGTGTCACCTTCGACAAACAGCTCATCCTTGCCTGCCTTTTCATTTCCCCTCAGTATCATGAATGTTACGATCATGTCTCCCCTCCCCATGTTTACTCTCTGAGCCAGAGATGCAAAGTTAAGCTCCTTCAGTCTTTTCTAGCGACACATGGGCCTCAGGAACAAGTGTAGCAACATATCTCTGGATTATATTTGTCTCGTCTTAGATTTGTGTCCTGACCCCACGTTAGACCCCAGCTGCCAACATCTCCCTGAGACTCTGTTTTTCGTCGCTTAGGTACACCGTTATCCACGAAATAAACACACCTCCTCTATAACTTCCGATCATTTCCCTCCCCTTTCTCCTATAGTGTCATGCCGTGTATTGTGCCAGACGCTTCCTGACAGTGCCCATTGATTGGTGTACGTGCCTGTGCGTGTTTAGGAGATAGCGTGTGGGACAGAAAACACACATGTACGTGTAACTGTTTCCGGACAGGTGTGTGTACGTATTGTACACGTAAGCACGTGTTCGAATAATGATTATTAATAAGCAATCGTTCTTCCAAAGTAAATACCCTTAACCTAAGGATTTAACTAGGAGAGAGCCATAGCTTGCAGAGAGATATAACTATTAGAGAGAGAGATGTTCAGGAGTGAGATATGTCAAGCAGTGAGATATAGCTTGTAGGCAGATATTGTTAGTATTGCGACATAGCTAGCAGGGATAAAATAGCTAGCAGGGAGATATAGCTAGCAGGGATAATATAACTAGCAGGGAAGGAAGGAAGGAAGGAAATTATCAGGTGAAAGGGCCAAGCCATTAGACTATATAGCACTTGGAAGGGATGGGGTCAGGATTAGGATTTGGAAAAGAGATAACTAACAGGGAGATATACCTAGCCGGTATACATACCTCATCGGGTGATATATATATATATAGGATATTATTGCAAATTATTAACCATATTACTTATCAATTGCAAAGAAAAATTGAATAATTTTAATAAAATCAATTTCTCAGTCAATATTAAAACAGTTCTTACCTCTTCCATATATTGTGGTAGTCTTCGTCCTCCTCTTCTTCCCCTTCCTCTTCCTCCTCCTCCACCTCTTCCTCTCCCTCCTCACCTCCCCGCTCCTCTTTTATTCCTTCTGCGTTTCCAGCATCCCTATAAAGGCAAATGGATAAATTAGAAATAGCGAGAGATGATGCAGTAAATCTCCACGTGAAAATGTAAATATATATTCAAATATATAATCCATTCACCTGGGCTGTAGGCGACTCGAACCTTGGATCATACGTGTGTGAGGCCGAAGCTCTATCGATCGAGCTATTGAGTAGTCTTAATAGGGAAAGGAATAGGATATAGGATAATGGTTATATCCACGGGAAGTGTGGAATATACTTTATATATATATATATATATATATATAAATAAATATATATATATATATATATATATGTGTTTTATTAACATAATTTAGTTCAATTGTATATATTGATACTAAAAAATTCCCACCACACTGGACGGTTAGATATACAGGGCCATGTGATCACTAACCTACACTGATAAACTCTGGCTGCATCATGATAATATCACCAAGAACACAACAGTGAGTGAAGCACCAATGATCCCAAACCTTTCCCATCTTGCAGGATGATTATTCATTAAGGGGCATATGATTAATAGCCCGAACTAGATGAAAAGCTGTTGAAAGACCATGAAGGGACAAAAAATCCACTTTAGACTTCATATGAGTCGAAATTGATGCTGATCCTTCTAAAAGGGCCAAACCTGACCAGCCCCATGATATTCCCAAACCTCACACGTGTCATCTTGAAACGTTGGGTGAAAATAGCCCTGACGTCTGTTCTCTAACGTTTAACAAACAAAACAACATACATTCTCTTTTATGGACATAGATTTGACTTTGCAGATTACAAACCACAATAACCTAGCTGAACAAAACTCAACCCACACAAATGCATGGAAACTGACAACATTTCGATTCGTTCTGTTTACGACTGCATAAGGTTCTAGGATGAACCGAAACGTCGGTACTTTTATTTAATTATTTATTTAAATATTTAATTATTTATACTTTTATTCAATTATCTCTGCCTTATATATATATATATATATATATATATATATATATATATATATATATATATATATTTATTTATATATATATATATATATATATATATATATATATATATATATATATATATATATATATATATATATATATCAACAAGCCATCTTTGTTGTAGACATATGTTATAGGATATGTCAGAAAGAGTGAGGGAAGTGATTCTACCACGATTCTTCTCTATTTTTCTTCACCCGAGAAGGAAGTTAATTAACTCTCCAAAGTTCATTTCACAGCTTTATTATGCTCTGACGTTAAGGACTGCGTTTCGTTGACTCTTGTCAACATTTTCAGAAGCAGAGTACAAGTGGTTAAATGCTTTGGGCAGCTGGATAGATATATATCACTCGGAGTGAGTTGAAGCGCATCAGTATGGACCAATAGGCCCATTACAGCTTACTATCCAGTCAATTATGTTTCACTGTTGGATGGGGGCAGTGTGATGGAGGTTTCGTCTTGTTCTCGATGCTAACGTTAGGCCTGAGTACAGTGGAAGAGAAAGAGGGAGGGGTGAGAGAAATAGGGAGAGTGGAAGAGCCTGTGTGTATAGAGGGAGAGAGGGGTTAAGGGAGAGGAAAAAATGAGGTAGACAAAGACCCAGGCATCGCCGGGTAGCCCCATCTATTATCAAATATAAAGCTATGGGTAAATAGGTATAAATGTTCGTTTTTTCGTCATTAACTCATTTATTTGTGTCAAATCTTGCTCTGAAGTGAGCGGTGTTGGGGTGAATATATTCACAAGAGAAAAATAGTTAGACTAACTAGATAGTTACGGTCATGAGTTAGCATTATATATGGTGGTAGTAAGACAAGTGTATTTGTTGAACTAGGAATAACAGAGAGCGTAGTAGAAGTAGTGATTGATAAATTACTCGTATTCGGAATCACGGTAAGATTTAGAGTGTTAACAGAAGCATTAGTTAACTACTACCACCTTAATAACAGTTGTGGTGGTAGTAGTGGTTGTACTAATAGTGGTAGTATTAGTAGTAGTAGTACTAGTGGTAGTAGTAGTAGTGACAGTTGGAATAGTGATGTAATAATTGTTGGTCGAGTTAATGAACCAGAATTATTACCCCACTAAATGGTGCATACACGCAAAGAGTTTTATTTTGTCTTCAATATGTTTAAGACGAATGTATATTCGCTGGCTCGTTGTTAATTGTCTCACTGGCTGACCCTAATAGCCCTCTCGCGGTTGTTAACACTGAAGCACATCACAAAAGCAATTCAAAGTCTGTGACAGTCGAAGGAAAAAAGAAAAAAAAAAGAAGCTGTATAAAATAAAACATTTAAAATCCCATTATGAAAAGAAGATTTTACAAAACAAGAATTTATTAAAGAAAAACAGTTAAAATATAAAACTATGTAAGAAGCAATTATTCTCGTAAAATGATGCAGAAATTATGGAAGAATCTCCAACGATATGCTGGAGAATATAGAATTAATTGAGAATGTGAGAAAATCGTCTGGAGTAAGACGCGGATTTTGGTCCAGCGTTCTAGAGCCCCCAGAAGCTTGCCTTAACCCACTCAGCCACGACAGAACAAAAATCATTAGGACACTTGGTTTAAATCCCCCTCTCCTTGCTTCAAATGATTTTCTCATCGATTTGTCACTCCATTGTGATAGCTTTGTATTCTAATTGGGAGTGTCTTACCGTTTCTCTGCCTCTGCCACCTTCTCCACCTCTGCTATCTTCTCCACTTGCGCCACTTTCTCCACCTTTGTCTCGGCCTCTCCACCACTGACAGAGGCGACTTGGAAACCAGCCATCATGGCCAACATCACCAACACGGCGATCCTGGGAGAGAAAAAGGAGCGAAAACAAATTAACTTTGGCGTCAGAACCTCGTAGAAACTTATATGTGTTGTATGTCAGTATACAGTAATGTATCTGTCACTGAATCTGTTGCGTGTATTTTTGTGTCTAGGGTCATATCTTTGTATCTATATATCATTCCGTGCATCTATTTATCTTCTTCTCAATGTATTCATCTATCTACTTCTTGCTGTAGTTATCTATGTGTCCATCAAATTATTTGTACATTTGTCTCAGTATATCTGTCTTTGCAAAATATGATGTCTGTATGTTTGGCTGTCTGTTAAAATTTTGTCCCAAACGCTTGAGGCTAGCCTAATCAAACATTGCAGGGTGGCTAGTGGGTGTGTTGGGACTGTCACGGGGGGGTAAGGGTCGGCCCAATTGCCTCACTTGAAGGAGGGCAGAAGTCGTTTCCGAAGTCACTTTCATAAAGTCGGTGAAGAAGAAATGTTCGAGGACTAGCAAATACAGTCTTTGTACACAACTTTGGCAAGGTATACATGCCTAAACGCATATTCTAATGAGAGATTTGGAGAGTTACTGACACGTAAATGGCTCAATATTTTGTGGTCGCCCCGAGCACCGTCGGGTGCGCCTTTTAGTGTGTCTATATGTATTAATATATCTCTAAAACTCTTTATAAATCTGTCTTTTCATCTGTATTTTTATGTATCACTGTGCATCTTTCTCAACCTTCACATTAATGGGATAAAAAGATAATTCAATCGTTCGAATCCTACATTTATGTGTCCTTCTGTTGCGTGTGTTGTGGTCACGCAACAGACATGAAGCTGTGTCACAGCTTCATGTAGTATAACGAAGCTGTGACATAAGCTTCGTAACTCTTCGTATCATGCGCGAAACTAGATATACTCTATCCCATTTTATTTGTAGCTTTATCTAAAAGAGTAATTTTGTATGAATTCCTAAAACACGAGTTAATTTTTTGAACAAATAGAACAAAGATGTTCCTGTCCGGCCACACGAACAGACGAACGGCCATTAGTAACAGCAAGAGAAATAAACGAACATTCGTGCATTCGTGTAAAAAAAATCGCATGGCTCGATAAGACTAACTAGATATAAAGAAGTTATGTTCCGTCTAGTTTCATGATTTATGCAACCTTTTCCTGTGTAGATTTTGGTCAATCTCTATGAAATAAAATAGACCAAAGATGAGGATAAACTCACTTCATGTTGAAGGCTGACTTGAGATGCGGATGCAGTAGAAATTCACAGCAAGACTCGCTGGCTGTTATGTGTTGAGGTTCGGTGCTTGTGCTGTGTTTGGTGGTGTGTTGGTGCGACAGTGCTTATATATATATGTGTGTGTATGTGATTGCGTGCAACATCCAACTCCATCCCCACCAACACATCCATTCCATCACCGCATGTTTGACGTGGCAGCCGCCAACGTGGTACTTCTGCAGGCGATGACAAGATGGGTGGCAATGACCTGCTCAAATTGTCGACAGTTTATATATATATATATATATATATATATATATATATATATATATATATATATATATATATATATATATATATATATATATATATATATATATATATATATATATATATATATATATATATATATATATATATATATATATACACATATATATATATATATATATATATATATATATATATATATATATATATATATATATATATATATATATATATATATATATATATATATATATATATATATATATCTTGATCATTCCTCGCATAAACTCTGTAAGGAGGGACTGGGGCATGATCTGCATGATTTCCCAAACGACATTATTGAAGGTCCAGTCTTTAGACCCTTCAGACCTCCTGGTCTGATGTTCAGAACTTTGCAAATGCTTTATGCACTCTCGTGTCACAAGCTATGTAGCCTTAAGGTAGCTGCATAAAACCTCAAAAACAAATGTTGATAAATTAAACTATATCGGATTGGAGAAGAGTTTTAAATTAGCTTTACAATTTATTTACAAATTTATTTACAATTCTGGTGAAGAAATCACACAACAGAAGATGAAGAGACGACGAGGTTTCGGTCCGTCCTGGACCATTATCAAGTCGATATCAAGACGATTATCAAGTCGATATCAAGACGATTATCAAGTCGATATCAAGACGATTATCAAGTCGATATCAAGACGATTATCAAGTCGATATCAAGACGATTATCAAGTCGATATCAAGACGATTATCAAGTCGATATCAAGACGATTATCAAGTCGATGGTCCAGGACGAGCCTAAACGTCATCGTCTCTTCATGTTTTGGTATGGTTTTGGGTCATAATATCTTCAGCCACGTTATTGTGACTCATCGTTTACAATCCTACTCCAACTGTGACTACTCACAGTAGGAGTAGATATCATGTTCACAACACTGAATTTAGTGATAGAGAAAATGCACAGAAACGCAGGCTTTCCACCCGTGCATCGCGAACCACAAAAAGAGTTATGGAAAGTTTTCTGGTCGGTCGCGGAACGTAAATTCTGAGAATAGAGGAATCATGGAGAATTAGCAAGTGTTGAGTATCCTTATTACGCAATGTTTAAATTTTTTCACATTATAAAATCTGAAAATGTTTATACCAGTATGTCTAGTTTTCTAGTATGTTTTTACTGTAATTATGCTTACAGTATTAAAGTCAATTCAAGAAAGGAATTTACACAAAAATGTAAAAATTATTCCACGTTAGAAAAGCTGACTGCATGTAAAGTCTATCAAAAAATTTAGGGGAGTCTGAGAGCAATTATTATATGCTATTTATATATGTTAAGATCAAGTTCTAATTCATTTAAAAAACACCTGGACTCAATTAGTTATGCCTTAACTCATCCTTGAAAGAAACCACTCTTGCATTGATTATTTGGCAGTAAAGTGCATATTTAAATGGTTTGCAGAACTAAGTAAATTTTGATTTGTTAATTTAAAACTTATTTGTAACTAATTGAATTTAAATTTAATTAAATATTTTTGTAATTAGTGTTACTATATATAATTTCTTTAAGTTTTTGAAAACAGATTTAAATATCTTAGAAAATTTTATTTTTTGCAAAGTTTTTCTTATCAAATTTCAATGTTCAAAGATAGACTTTCTTTTTATCATAAATAAAGCAATTTATCATAACATTCTACCCCAAAAACTGACTCTTTTCAGAAAGTTTTTAAGGTGACTGATTGCGACGAAAAACTATGAAAGGTGGCACTATTGCCTCGCGATGTTCCCTATATCAGCCTTTCCTTGTTCCGTTGAAAACATTTATTTTTAAGTTATTTTTGCCTTACCAGTATACCAATGTGTTATTGTGCATCAGAAAGTGGGTTGTGTAACCTTCGTGTGGTGTTTTTTTTGCGTATATCGTTTCTTATTTAAATAATTTATTTATTGGTCTGAAATTTATATGCATTGAGAAAAAAACGAAAAATATTGAGAATGCTACCTAAAACCTGGCTTCATCAATGTACGTGGCCTTGAGATGCCATAATGCGTTTGTGCAATGTTATCCTCGAAGCTGAACCTCTATAAAACCTTCAGAACTCAATCGTAGATTAAAGCCTCCACACCTGAAACTACAGTGAGTGGGAACACACATTCTCCGTTTTCAAGACAATCTGAAGGCATTTGTATCCACAGTACACACCTGACGCTGGGAAGAAAACTTGTGAAACTTTGCCACGTTTGACAATTTTTACAGCACCGTGAAAGAATCTCCAGGTGGACCAGATGAGGAGGAGTTGATTTCTGAGCACTTTGACTCCTTTGATAAGGAATTTAGGTCACAGGCGAAAAAACTGAGCTCTTCCCTGCTCCCCTGAGCTCATAGGAGGAAAAAAACAGCTATGCTACAAAGCCCGTTCTCTACTTGCCTGAATATATTCAGCATTTCCGATGAATTCCACAATGAGTTCTTAGATCTGCTTTATAGAGAACTGGTTATATGGAAAATTGATGACTCCCTTTTGGTGTGCTGTGAATCAGTCATATCCCAATGTCACTATACCTTCCTTTCCCTTCACCTTTCTTCGTGAGATTGAATTTTCAACACTTTTTCAAATTAAAACAAAGGCAATGAACAAGATAAATGTTGAGGATAACATGAGATTTTCTGTGGCAAATAGACAGCCAAGAATTTCCAAGCTGGTTGTGCAGCTGCAAACTCAAGAATCATATTGTCACTATAAATTTTGAGAAAAGAAAGCTGCGGTGAAGGATGAGTTTGAAGTAAAACTCAGATGAAGTTCTTCCGAAAATGGTCAATATTTTAATGTAAAAATCAATATTCAAATAAAAGTTCTAATGAAATGAACGTGTCTGAATTTATTCTTTTATTTTCTGTTACAATTATGAAAGTGTGACAGGTGACCTTGAGGCCTGGTCGACGACCGGGCCGCGGAGACACTAAGCCCCGGAAGCACCTCAAGGTAGCCTCAAGGTAGGTGTTTGGAGTATTAAAGAATAGGGCCGTGAGGGGAAGGGAACGAATTATCAGGAGAAAGCGCCAAACCATTACGACTATATAGGACTGTGACGGAATTAGGATAAGGATTTGGGATGTTACGGGGGGAGAGAATAGTACCCAACCACTTGGACGGTCGAGGATTGAATGCCGACCTGTATGAAGCGAGACCGTCGCTCTACCATCTAGCCCATGTGGTTGGGCACTATTCCTTCCTTCCCCCCCCCCCCGTCTCCATCCTAAATCCCTACCCTGAACCCCTTCCAAGTGATATAATGATAATCTGTATACACTTATAACTCCTCTGCAATCTTCAGACTGCTGCAGTAGATCCTGCTGAAGATTTTTAATAATATATATATATATATATATATATATATATATATATATATATATATATATATATATATATATATATGTATATATATATATATATATATATATATATATATATATATATATATATATATATATATATATATATATATATATATATATATATATTAGGCAATTATTTCAAGTTTGAGTGCTTTGAAAGGATGAAAGGAGCAATATTCTAATTACCTTTCCTGGTGAGGGGTTTCAGCGATACTTTGATAGTAGGACACAGACAAACTTTGTAACGGCTCATTAAATACCGCTATCATAATTAGTAGATTCGCTAAATGTTGTTATTAAGATCAGGGAAGCTTATTCCCAATCCATTGGCACTAGAAAAGTTAACTATCAGTAGATAGCGCTAAGTCAACATGACCATATTGCACGTGGATGAAATATGAGGACAAATAAGGAGCTGGAATATGAGGACAGAGCTGGGATATAAAGTCAAACCAAAGAGCTGGGACATGAGAACAAAGTTAAGGAATTATGCCCAACCTCTTGGACAGTCGAGGATTAAAAGACGATCCTTCAGAAAACAAGTACCAATCAAAGTGGATGGCCCAAGCTCCCTAAAAGACTCTCTAAATACCAACTTCCATCCAAGTTGTCTGGCCATGCAAGGGCTTCCTCTGCAACTGCCTATAGGTTCTAGCCATGGGTTCCATTACTCAACCAAGCCCGTGTTGCACGAGCAGAGGAAAGCTGGAAGTGTGTTGAACAAGCGAGAAAAGGGTTTTCCTAAACAGGACGCAGTAATAGTGAAGAAGGAGAGGTCAGACTAAAAGAGAGACATCAAACAAACAGATATTTTTCAGGAACTTGGACGAAGGAGCTTTTGGATGGACTTTATGAACTTTAAAGAATGAGTCTTTGAGTAGTTTTCAGGAACTTGGACAAAGACACCTTTCAACAGTAATGTGGAACGTGGACAAATGAGTCTTAGAATAGTCTTTTTGAATTTGGAATGAAAGCCTCTGAATTGTCTTCAGGAACTAGGTTACCCAAGTTCTTTAAGATAATTCAGATTTTTCAGAAGACAATTCAGAGATATTTTGAATAGTCTTCAGGAAATTGGATAAAGGAGACAATGAATAGTCGTCAGGAACTTGGACAAAGCAACCTTTTGCCATACCCATTGCTTGCTTGGGTAGACATAAAGCCTCGTTGCTTTGTGTCAATGGGTATGACAAGCAGTGCAGTTAAATCAAAATTACGGATAAAAAAACTTCTTCACTAATTGCACTGCTCAGGAGTTATGTTATATCATGGAAACACCAAATGATGGAACAATATTCCCCAAACATAAAAAAACAGGAATTTTTAGAATTAATGCAATTTTTTTTGGGACTATAAGTAGGTCAAAATGGAGCCAAAAATCTACAATGGGCCAATTAAAATTGCTTTTTATAGCTTTTGTATATTTAGTGGGATTGCTGAAATTGGAACACAAAACAGTGAACAAACTCCTAATTATTTATCATTTCTATACATTTCTAGCAGCTGGTAGGTCTCAAAATATTAACTAAACATTAAGTAAGGTCTTGATACCAATCATTTTCATGATATCATTAATATATTTTCAGCTGTTGGTATTTACAGAGTCTGATAACTTTCGCAAAAGCAAGTAGGGTACAAATAAACAAAAAAATATGTCTTTGCATTTTTATATATTTATACATAAACCTATACAGATTATATAATAATACATCATCGAGTTAAATATGCCCCAAAATATATATGTATATATAATTTTTGATAACGATCAGTGAATATTATGATATTGAAGAACCGTAACTTCTCTAGAAAGAATCCATTATAATAAATAAATCAAATCGCAGTCATTCCCTGCCAATAAGGTTGAGAATTGTACAGGTGAAGAGTATCTTCAAAAGGTAAGAATGATCAAGAAAGAAAATGTTTACCTGAATACTGATTAACGATTTTTTAATGCATCCTTTCCATAAAAATGAAGTATGATTTAAGAATGAAAATTTTTATGCTTGTATAGAATCACAGATGCTATCAACTGGAAGTAAATTTTGATGGAACTCATCATAATGATGACCTTAAACGACCTTCATAAATTAAACAACCTGTGACAGATACGTGATAAATGGAACGTAAGCCAATCAACAGCAACACAAGATGATGTTGTAATGTAATCAGCATCTTAGAAACGTCACAGTTGATGCTGATGAAGAAGCATTTCCCTGAGCATCAATAAGTTGCAGAAAAACTACCATCATCATCATCATCATCTTCATCTTCATCATCTTCATCATCATCACTTCTGTCATCACAATTATTCCCATCATCACCATAACTACCACCATCACCCGATTGATTGATCAAGTTGTTATGTCGTTTAGAAATCTAATCGGCCTCGTCACTCACATCACTGATTATAATTTTCCCCATAACAGCCCTGAAAAAAAATTGAAAGAAAAATTTGATAAATAAGCAAAAATTAACACACACACACACATATATATATATATATATATATATATATATATATATATATATATATATATATATATATATATATATATATATATATATATATAGTGTTTATAAAAATAATAATAAAGAGAAAACATGGCCTTTACCATGAATTATGCTGTTGTCTCCACATTCTTTGCTACCTCCTCCACTGCTCCCTCTTCCTCTTCTTCTTCTTCCTCTTCATCTTCGTCCTCGTCTTCCTCCTCGTCTGCTTGTCTGTATATTTTAATTTGGTTATTTATGGATGACAAAATTAACTGGTGAAACAAAGCGCATCTGTCATATATGTGTGAGGGTGTTTCTTACATTATGTTCTTCCCTGAATAGGTGTGCTGGAAATGGATATCAACTCTCAGTTTCGTCTTATAACTATCGTTTAACTGATGTGATGATTCGAGATGTTAATGACCAGTAATCTCAATGACCCCCTGACATCAGTGACTCCTGATACCAAAGGCAACAGTCTCTTATGGATCAAGCATCGCATGGCAGGGTGATGCTTCTTTGTTACGTCAGTTTTTTAATTGAGCAGCTTATATATTCCCCTTTTTTCATGGAAACAGCGGAGAGCTACATAGACAGTCGACTTGTCTATGTGTCATTCTCAATCGACTTGAGAATGGTCCAGGACGGACCGAAACGTCGTCGTCCCTTCACCTTCTAGTGTGTGGTCTGGTCAACTACATAGACATTTTGTTCCCAATTTTCAAGGCTCTCCCCTGTCGAAAGAGAGCTTGGATACGGACATAACAAGGGGTTCACACAACTCTTTAGCTACCATAGATAATTAGTTTGAAAGTGTGTTCGATTTTGATGTTTTGTAATACCCAGACGCCCATAGTGTCACTTCTCCTACTGTTAAGGCAAATATGTCTATGTTATCACGAGTGTGTATAAAGAGAGTGAGTACACATGTGTGAGTAAGTGAGAGAATGTGTAACCTCTAGTGTTCTGAATAATATATATATTTAGTTAATGATTTTTAGAATAAAAAAATTATCAAAGGTTGATTTTCGTCTTTTGTTCTCAAAATGATTTCTTTACTACTATCAATTAATACAAAATAATAATGAAGGCATATTTGAACATTATAATATACATATACAAGATATTTATATATAGTATGTATATATACAATATACATATATGATGTATCATGTACATATATTATATACAAAAAATATACATATGCAATACACATAAACAATATACATACATAATATACATATATAATATGCAATTGCTATATCCAAAAATTAATTACAGAAGTGTATTCCTATGAATGTTTCTAAATAACATTATTGTTATATTCAGCCATGTTTTGATCAAATGGTTTAATAATACTTTTTAATAGCGACCAGTTAATTACTTTAATTAAAAAAATACAAATGTAATGAATGTAAAAATATTTATACAGAATTCTATCTTACCAAATTCACTAAAGAAATTGGCTTTTGATTTATTGGTTTTGAAATTATAAATACCAAATAATGACTTAATTTAAGTATGATTAATTATTTATATTACAAAATAATTTATTTTTTAATGCAGTTATCCTAATGAAAACAAATAATAGCAATTTAGGTAATATGACAATTGCTAACACTTAATATAATTTTTTATACCCTATCTTTTTCAGTAGATGTAAGGAAAATACAATTATCTTTTTGTAATTATATTTTTCTGACAACAATAGTGCATCGCTTACCTCTTCCATACACTGTGGGGCTCCTCGTCCTCCACCTCCTCCTCCTCGTCCTCCTCCTCTTCCTCCTCCAAATCTGGTGAAAATTCCAACCCTTCCTCGCCTATCTCTTCTTCCTGCCCTTCGCCAGCACTGAAATAATTGAGAAATACAAAATATAGAAAAAAAATGATGACAAGTAAAATAGGAAAGAAGTGCCTTGCGAAACGCGTCTCCCTAAGCCTCAGTCACGTAATAAATTGAGAAAATGAACTTTGGAGAGTTAATTTTTCAATTTCCCTCGACAGTGAAGAAAAACATTAGAAATATTGAGAAGCTTCGTGTTAAAATCATCAATCTTAATATCTATCCAGGTTGGTACTGTGGTTATCATGGGTTGCCACTGTGGTTGTCTTGGGTTGGCGCTGTGGGTTGGGTTGTTCCCCCACCACCGAGAAGAGGAAAGGATGTGGGGGATAGTGGCTGTGGGTTTTGCTGCATCAGTTACGTTGTACATGTTTGTGATAGAGCGGGTGTAGTGTCACAAGTGTTTGCCACAGTGGAGAGGTTAAAGCCGGTGTCTTTGATGGAGGAGTCATGTATTCACGAGTGTTTCCTGCAGCTCTGAGGTGGCAGGTGTGTGTTGCCATGGCGACTTTTAGTCGCCAAATGTAATTATGAGTTAATATTTTTGATAAACAGTATCATTTGAGAAGCTGTAGAAGAAGTAGCATGGATAACAGATTAGAGAAACTACCTACTGGACATATTGTTATCTACAAATTGTGTTTCCAACGACCAGAATGCTAGTACCTTTTGTATAACATTATATATTTGTATTGTTATTTTCAATATAGTTACTTCATCGGTTGAGAAAGCTCCCTTACTAGATGATTTGTGGTATGCTTCCTGAGCTAGTCAGCAGAATTGAATACATGAGAAAGAGGGCAAAACATTATATACAAAGAAACAAAAATTACAGATCCGTAGAGTCAAAAATAAATAAAAATAAAGGAATTGAATAATAATAATTTGTAAGTAATTTAATATCTTATAACAATGCAAAAGTTATGACAGTGGAGAAACATGTGAGTGATTGTAATGATGTAAATACCTGAAAGGGCCTTACCTTTTTTCCACATTCTCCACCTTTTCCACCTTCTCCACCTTTGCATCTTCAACAGTGGCGGCGGCGGCAGCCTGGAAGCCAACCATCATAGCCAACACCAAAACAGCGATCCTGGTAATGAGAAACAAATGAAATGTGGCGTTGTAGAACCGTAGAGGTGAAACCATATTTAGTATTTTAACTTTCTTGTTCTTGAGCAGCTGTATCATTGCGAACGTAGCTATACAAATAATAATGAAAAAATATGTTATACATTGGTGTATTTAGATATGTATGTATGTATTTATGTATGTATGTACGTATGTATGTATAAGGGGTGTCTGTCAATCTGTCTTCATATGCACCTCTCAAAATTAATTAAAAACCTCCACACAGTGCCAGGAAAACACCTGTGGTGCTTACCTGTCCTCACTCCAAATGCATCGATTTATCTACGTTACGGACTAGAGCAATACAAACTGAAGGGGCGAATTGAAGCATAGAGAAATGTGTAGATGTTCCTGAATAATGAGCATTGGATTTCGAAAGTAAGGTTGTAGTTTTATCTCCCCTTTCTAGATTCAGTCTCTCCCCTTCCCTAGAATCTGTCCTTTATCCTCTCCACTAGAAACTGTCCTCTATCCTCCACACTAGAAACTGTCTTCCCTTCTATATTTCCTTCAGGAGACACTCACCTCATGTTGAAAGGTTGAAGTAATACGAGGATTAAACAGTTACACGCAACAAGACTAGTGAGTGCGAGTGTGGTAGAGACTGTAGTGCTCTGGTATTTATGTGTGTGTGTGGAGGAGCCGCTTCCCCCCCCTCATCACTCTCTCCACACCCCCTCCACCTCCGAACTCCCATCAACGCAGCATTGACGTGGCGCTGACAGCGTGGCTCCATTCAGGTGAAACACACCTGTTTCTAATGCCTCTACTATATGAAAATTGATTTTGCTTCGCATATCAGAAACTTGTCCTCGTGTAGAGTAATAAATGAGCCCAGCAAGCCGGGAAGACTACGTAGTAATGTAATTACACATCTAAATAGAAATCTTTGGCGTGGGTGATGTAATTTCCTAATCCCAGGATGATGGTATGTGAGGGTCACTGACCATATTCCAAGTGTTCAACATTATTTCAATTTGCTTACAACAAGCCGAAACAAACTAGCCATAATTACAGTAAGAAAAATACTATAAGAGTATAGTTTAAAATAGTGTACAAAATGAGAGTATTAGAGTGAGAGAACGTGAATGTGTGGAATTTTTTTTTATATTGAGATAAGGAAGAATTTCGCAAAATAAAATTAAGCGAAGACAGAGAGAGAGAGAGAGAGAGAGAGAGAGAGAGAGAGAGAGAGAGAGAGAGAGAGAGAGAGAGAGAGAGAGAGAGAGAGAGAGAGAGAGAGAGAGAGAGAGAGAGAGAGAGAGAGAGAGAGAGAGAGAGAGAGAGAGAACTATCAGGACAAAGCGCCAAGCCATTAAGATCTATATATAGCACTTGAAATGGGGCCAGGATAAGGATTTAAGATGGATCGGGGGGGGAGGAATGGTGCCCAACCATTTGGACGTTTAAGGATTGAACGCCGACCTGCATGAAGCGAGACCGTCGAAATCTAAGATCAAAACCCTAAGATTTACACAGTGCTGTGTGTAAACTGAGTCGCGTTTTCTGATCTAAGCTACATCTATTAAGATCAGAACACAACTTGTTTGGCATTCTAGCTCCTTATCCCTTACATAAAGTGTAATATTTACACTATTACACAAAACAATCGTAGGAAAAACAGTAATTCTGTTACCAGCAATGCAATTATGTGTTTAGCTTAAAGTGAGAATGAAAAATGTAACAATCAGTGTCAAACAACACATACAGGTATCTGATTCACACCTTTGGTGCTCCATGTTATACGTATGTGCTACCACTCACAGGAAGAGTACCACGTGTACAATAAACTACCACGTGCACAATAAACTACCACTCACAGGATGAGTATTGCATGCACAATAAACTACCACTCACAGGATGAGTGTGGGGTGGTTACACAAGAAACTATACTGCTCTCAGGTTGATTAAAGGGTGCAAAATAAACTATCACTTACCGGTTGAGTAAATGGTTCATAATACACGACCTCTGACAGGATAAATACGATTTACACACTAGACCAAAATTAAGCCCCTTGTCGGAGGCAACAACCAAAACAGAGAGAAAGGGGAGGATGGAGAGACATAACATGCAAATGTTTTCTTATATATATTTATATTTTAGGAGCTCTACCCTTTTTTTACGAGCTTTTTAGGATGTTTGTCAAAGACGTTTAGGCCTTGACTTTGTGCCTAACAAAAGTATTCTTCCCCCACTCACCCCCCTTTTGTGTGTTTTTGATCACGATTATTATTTTTTGTTCTTATTGAAGCCAGTTTTTTTTTGGCTTGTATTTATCTTTCCTGTTCACGTTTGTATATTCCGTCTTCTCATATTATTCCATCTTTCCAATCCGAGATTGATGGTTAAGTCTCTATCATTACATACCTGAGTTCTGTCTTCACCTGTATATTCATATTAGCTGGAATCCCTTGTCTTCATCCTACACTTTTCTCAAGAGTGTAGGACCCAGGCTTCCATTCCTCGATGTTGTTGATGGTAACTCGGGAAGGTTCATCACGGATGTGCACCGTAAACTAACTGATGCAGGAAAATGTATGATGAACGGTAAGAGTGAACGCACTGACAGGTATAAGAGAAGCGTCGTCAATGCATATGTTGGTCTTGCAATACGTACATGTTCTTCTTGGCAGCACATGCACCGCGAACTTGAATGGATCCGCCAAATTGTTGTGAATTGCGATTACAGCAATACAGAATTCGACGAAATCGTAAGAAGCTAAGTCGCCACATGACTGGGAATAATCAGGCTCCAGGGGTAGAAAATCGGCCCCCAAGGGAAGACATTGTAGTGTATTATAAAAACACGTTCAGTTCTCCATAGACTCTATGGAGTCTTGAGGTGGGTAGAATATAGTTGTGCATTAATTGGCTGTTGATTGCTGGTGTTGACTTCTTGATGTGTAATGCCTCGCAAACGTCAAGCCGCCTGCTATCGCTGTATCTATCGATGATTTCTGTGTTGTTAACTAGGATTTCTCTGGCGATGGTTTGGTTGTGGGAAGAGATTATATGTTCCTTAATGGAGCCCTGTTGCTTATGCATCGTTAAACGCCTAGAAAGAGATGTTGTTGTCTTGCCTATATACTGGGTTTTTTGGAGCTTACAGTCCCCAAGTGGGCATTTGAAGGCATAGCCAGCCCTTGTTTCTGTAACACCCGTTACATCCTGTAGTATTTAATTATCACTATATTAATATTTTTAAATAGTTAACATTTCAATTTTTAGTTAGATTAAAGCTGAAGCAGAATGTCATAAGCAAGGATGGTGTGCTGAATAAAGATGATTTATTAAGTGGATGGAGCCTTTAGCTGATCCCTTCCTGTGATTGGCTGTTGTGTGAATGTCAACAAAGAGTTTCTACCAATGATATTCCATTTATTATGCACCCCATACCATCTTGGGGCAGAGCTTGGAACCTCCTACCCGAGCACAACAACCCGCCTTATGGGTTGCTGTTTGGCTATTTATAGTGCGTTGGAAAAAAACTAGATGGCGTTAGTTGTATTTTGTGGAGTAATTTGTTATAAGTGTAATTTGATGTCAACAGATGGCGTAAGCTGTACCTTATGGCCACTGTTGACCTGCCAGTTGATAGTGTTCTTATCTGCCGACAGATGGCATCAGCTGTATTATTAAAATTTTAATAATATTATTACAGTAATAATAATGTATTATTATTACTTTAAACACTGATCTATACGTCTGGTAGCTTATAATAAGGCTTTTATATTATGCTGGTATTAGGTAACTAGAATTCTGCAATTACTTTTTTTTATCTACTGTTGAGGATATATAAGATAAATGTAAGGTTTTGAGGCTAAGTAACGAAGATAGTTACAAGATACGAGCCAGATGGTGTTGAGATTGCAAAAGGGTATGATAAGAACTTAAGCCAAAAAATCGATGCATAAATGTTCGCAAATATGCGACTAGGATTTATTTCTCGAAAAGTTACCAATAAAATACGCTTTCTAGTTCTTTACTTTTAAAATTAAGACCAGGGATTCTGTCTAACGAAGCTGCAAGCTAAAACACCGTTATCCTATAATGTTCATCTGTAGCTTGACCCTAAATACTCGTTTATTAAACGAATTTATTGTTAGAGTTCATTAGGAATCAACTTTGTTGAGGCCAGAGTTTCTAACAAATACCTTCCTGTGATTGGCTCTTGCGGGGAATGCCAATGCTTATATGAATAAAATGTAAAATAAGAAATACGTCCTTTTGCTCAATAACCTTGTTGTTGTACAAATGAACAACAATTCCTGTTTTATACAAGACAGACTTCCATCTAAGTGAATAATGTAGACCAATAAGAGGACGGAGGCATTGTATCGCCGATATTATTTGTGTGAGGCAACCCCCACTGATGACGTCACAAGCTAGGTAGCCAGCCCATGTTTCTGTAACACTCGTTACATCCTGCAGTATTTAATTATCACTATATCAATACTTTTAAATTCTTAACATTTCAATTTTTAGTTAGATTAAAGTTGAAGCAGAATGTCATAAGCAAGGATGGTGTGCTGAATAAAGATGATTTATTAGGTCTCGATTAGTCTCCGTGGTGTAGTGGTAAGACACTCGCCTAGCGTTCCGCGAGCGCTATGTCATGGGTTCGTATCCTGGCCGAGAAGGATTTACTGGGCGCAATTCCTTAACTGTAGCCTGTTTAACGCAACAGTAAAATGTGTACTTGGGTGAAAAAACGATTCTTCGCGGCGGGGATCGTATTCCAGGGACCTGCCCGAAACGCTACGCGTACTAGTGGCTGTACGAGAATGTAACAACTCTTGTATATATCTCAAAATAAAAAAAAAAAAAAAAGGTGGATGGAGCCTTTAGCTGATCCCTTCCTGTGATTGGCTGTTGTGTGAATGTCAACAAATAGTTTCTACCAATGATATTCCATATATTATGCACCCCATACCATTTTGGGGCGGAGCTTGGGACCTCCTACCCGAGCACAACAACGCGCCTTATGGGTTGCTGTTTGGCTATTTATAGTGCGTTGGAAAAAAACTAGATGGCGTTAGTTGTATTTTGTGGAGTAATTTGTTATAAGTGTAATTTGATGTCAACAGATGGCGTAAGCTGTACCTTATGGCCACTGTTGACCTGCCAGTTGATAGTGTTCTCTTCTGCCAACAGATGGCATCAGCTGTATTATTATTATTTTAATAATATTATTACAGTAATAATAATGTATTATTATTACTTTAAATACTGATCTATACGTCTGGTAGCTTATAATAAGGCTTTTATACCAAGCTGGTATTAGGTAACTAGAATTCTGCAAGTACTTTTTTTTATCTACTGTTGAGGATATGTAAGACAAATGTAAGGTTTTGAGGCTAAGTAACGAAGATAGTTACAAGATGGTGTTGAGATTGCAAAAGTTATTACGATAAGAACTTAAGCCAAAAAATCAATGCATAAATGTTCGCAAATACGAGACTGGGATTTATTTCTCGAAAAGTTAGCAATAAAATACGCTTTCTAGTTCTTTATTTTTAAAATTAAGACCAGGGATTCTGTCTAACGAAGCTGCAAGCAAGCTTCGCAAGTAATTGTGAGAAGGAAAAAAACTAGACAATATACATTACATTTGAAATTAATAATGGATGAATGGTAATAAATTGGTGTATGTTTGTATGTATACCAGACAAGTCCATTTAATGACAAAATTTAGCCATTTTGTGTAAAAACTTTTATATCTCATATTATTAATTATAACAGTAATCGAAAAAAGTCATAGTTTGTATATACAAGAGATGAAACAGAGAGCCATGAGCTAGAGCGATGTGCTGAGTCCATAAGGAGGCCGAGCTTCCAGAAATACCTTCCTGTGATTGGCTGTTGCGGGGAATACCAACACTCTTTCATGAATAAAATTTAAACTAAGAAATAGGTCCTTGTGCACAACAACAATGTTGTTGTAAAAAAGAACAACAATTTCAGTTTTGCACCTGACAGAAATCTCCATCTAACTGAATAATTTAATCGAATAAGAGGGCAGAGCAGCGTATCATTATTTGTGTCAAGGCAACTCCTACTGATGACGTCACAAGCTAGGTAGCCAGCCCATGTTTCTGTAACACCCGTTACATCCTGCAGTATTTAATTATCACTATATTAATATTTTTAAATAGTTAACATTTCACTTTTTAGTTAAGTTAAAGTTAAAGCAGTATGTCATAAGCAAGGATGGTGTGCTGAATAAAGATGATTTATTAAGTGGATGGAGCATTTAGCTGATCCCTTCCTGTGATTGGCTGTTGTGTGAATGTCAACAAAGAGTTTCTACCAATGATATGCCATTTATTATGCACCCCATACTATCTGTGGGCGGAGCTTGGAACCTCCTACCCGAGCACAACAACCCGCCTCTCCATATTGAACATAGAGTGAATTCCTGAAGACGTCAAAATTTATTAACAGAATAAAATGAAAAGATTAAATGATCTAGTATTTCTTCACCCTCTAACTAGTCAAAAGTTATTGCATAGAATAGACAAATATCCACACAAAAATTAACAAAAGAAAATATATCCATAAGAAAATGAACAGTAGTCACAATGCTGTTGTCTTTAATGACATGTGTATATATAGATATGAATATATAGAGATACGGGAGGCGATTGGGGGGGGGGAGGGGGATAAGGGGGGGTGCTTACGTTGGCTCGATACGTTGTACAAAGGGAGGCGAGACCGTAGTTTATGGACGGCGAGGAAGAACACTTGTGTCCTCGGCCACGTTGTTCCTGACACGCTGGAGGCTGTGACGCCATCTATTGCTAGAAATAAACAATATCGACAGTAACTCATCTCTGAAACGCAAATTAGAGAATAATTTAATCATTCAACCCTCATAATATTGTTTGAGTATTGCTTGTTTCAGGAAATGCAAATCACCGCGTGGAGAGGAAGACAGAGGCGTATGAGTGTATTGTGTTAGTCAGCTCATCTACACCTGCGTAGCACCTGTTGTGCCGCCAACAGGTGTTCTTGGGTGAGTGTGTGTGTTTTATAAGCGTGTGAGTTTGTATGTATGTATGGAGATAGAGTCCTATATGTTGACGATTCAAAATATGTGAGAAACGTTAAGAAATTAACATAGTACTATGATCCGAGATCACTTAGATAATTTGATTCAGAAAATGGTTACTGGATTTCAACACCGGTAAGTATAAGGTGATGAAAATGAGAACGGACAGGAGACCAGCAGGACGGTACGGATTGGAGGGTAGTTACCTTCGATTGGTAGTTACCTTCGATTGGTAGTTACCCTTCTATACGATTGTGGAGTTTGAACGTTCAAAACATAACGAGGAGGAATGAACACACACAATGGTGAGTGGTATGAACATTTAGTGTACTAATAAAGTACACTTTAGTAGTACTGAAAGTACTCTTTTTTGTAGTATTGTAATTTATGTTGCTAATAAAACCAAACCTAACCATCTTAGGCTTAATATACGCAATCTGAGGCCTATACAGTACAAACATGTGCTACAATAGGCCTAGGAATATTATTATTTTTTTAGCTTTATTTTATTCGAAATATATAAACAAATATAATACAAAAAATTACTAACTGGAGCTCCATTACGGCATATTGGTACGATCAAATACATAGTTAGAAAACGTACTATCAAAATAGGGACGTTGAGTTGAATTAATTAATCCAGAGCCGCATAATAGTCCTGAAGTTCTATGCTCTCCTGAAGTCCCCCTGATAATAGGATTCCACTTCTTTGAAGTTCAGTTGCTAATGCATTTATATTCCCCTTGTTCTTTCCGCTCTAATCTTCCTCATTGTTTTCTAACTCTCATCCTCCTCCCGGTCTCATCCTCCTCCCGGTTTCATCATCCTCGTCAACGTGTTAGACACAGGTGTTGTGTGTGGGGGGTTGGTTGGTGGGGCGGGGGGTTGGGGGCGGAACTCCACGTGGATGTCCCAGCTCCGCCACTACTGAACACGGGGCCGTCTCCACCACCACCTACCCACGCACATCCTCTCAAGACGATCACGTGCTTCTGTCACGCACCTGAGAGAGAAAAGGACAGTGAGACGGATTCAGATACAAAGATACGAAGACAGAAGACATAATTTGATATCGTCTTGGTGCCGAGTGATGTTCTGAGTCCCCCTCGTTAGTGAGGGACTGCTTATTAGAGTAGTAGTAGGGTGATTCGACTGTGGTGGTTTTAGTGTGAGCCAGTCAGGCCACTCTCCTGTGAGCGCCTACGGTCAAAGCTTCTGATTGGATGATGTTTACGCTACGGTAAGTGTTGCGGTATGTGTAGCGGTAAGTGTAGTGGAAAATGTCGTGGCTTGAGTCCGTCTGTGAGATGTGATGACATAGTGAACCTTATACGTATGTATAGGCCTTATAGGGTCTATATATAGGCCGCTCAGATTCTTGCTCGTCTGCAAAGTGTGTTGGTTTCAGTTGTTTTGCGACGTGTTCTGCCATCAGCCTTTATGGAAGCTGTTTTGGAAACATAATTGATAAAGTGTAGTTACTATATATAGTTACTAAAGTGTGTCCTGTGCTGAAGTGTGTTTTTAAGTGAAGCGTGTCTTCTTACCTACACATAGATATTAAATGAAGTGTTTTGATTCAAGTAAATATAATAACTCATTTTGTCGGAGACAGGCAGCCTGTGAATATATATATATACGTTAGGTATATATCGAGATCCCCATCCCCCTCAATGTTGAACTACTGACTTTCTCCAGAATCTAACCACACAACTGTTCACTAACACCAGGGTGCCTATTTACCACTTGGTGAACACGAGCATTAGGAAATTAGGAAAACGTTCATTAGGAAAACGTGTCTAACCATTTCTTTCCTTCCTGGGATTCAAACCCAGCATTTCCGATTGCTAGTCAAGAACGAACCCAGCTGAACTACCGTGCCCCTAAAGTTCTTAGATAACGTGATTTGTACAAAGTTGTTCAGATGACGTTATTTGTACAAAATTGTTCAGATGTTATTTGTACAAAATTGTTCAGATGACGTTATTTGTACAAAAAGAGCACTGGGAACGCTCAACGAAGTGTCCGGTTCATAGAACTAAGTCCGTGTGTTTGTCATAAAGCTGTTATTCAAGGATCTTCAGATACGGGAAATGCAGCGATAAGAGAGGAACTCTCGAATCATCAATAGGTAAAGATAGCTTTGTTAAACACTTTCGTCCGGGCATGACGCAATGCTGCTCCGGAAACTCCGGAAACTGAGTGTTCTGACTATAGTTTTAGAATACAATTTTGTGTGTGTATTCACCTAGTTCACCTACTTGTGCTTGCGAGGGATGAGCTCTGCTCTTTCGGCCCGTCTCTCAACTGTCAATCAACTGTTAGTAACTGCTATTTTTTCCCCTTCCCACACCACACACACACGGAAGCAGCCCGTGACAGCTGACTAGCTCCCAGGTACCTATTTACTGCGAAGTAACAGGAGCATTAGGGTTAAAGAAACTGCCCATCGTTGCTCACCGGCGCCGGGAATCGAACCCGGGACCACAGGATCACGTGTCCAGCGTGCTGTCCGCTCGGCCGCCGGCTCCAGTGTGTGTGTGTGTGTGTACTCACCTAGTTGTGCTTACGAGGGTTGAGCTCTGGCTCTTTGGTTCTGCCTCTCAACTGTCAATTAACTGATGTACAGGTTCTTGAACCAATTGGGCTCTATCATATCTACACTTGAAACTATGTATGGAGTCAGCCTCCACCACACCACTGCCTAATGCATTCCATTTGACAACTATTCTGACAAAAAAAATATACTGTCTCTATGGCTCATTTGGGCACTCAATTTCCACATGTGTCCCTTAGTGCGTATCTCAGCTCCTTGTCCTCGTATCCCAGCTCCTTCTCCTCGTATCCCAGCTCCTTCTCCTCGTATCCCAGCTCTTTGTCTTCGTATCCTAGCTCCTTGTCCTCGTATCCCAGCTCCTTGTCCTCATATCTCAACTCCTTGTCCTCGTATCTCTACTCCTTGTCCTCGTATCCCAGATCTTAGCCTTCGTATCCTAGCTCCTTGTCCTCGTATCCCAGCTTCTTGTCCTCATGTCCTAGCTCCTTATCCTCGTATCCCAGCTCCTTGTCCTTGCATCCCAGCTCCTTGTCCATATACCTCCTTCTAAGTGCTATGCAGTAATTCTAGTTTAGCGTTTCTCATAACTCCTACTTTTGGGTTTCAGGTTATCATTGGCTATAGTGATCACGTGCGTCTGCTGGGACATCGCGACTACAAATCTTAAGAATTCAAATGTTGTCGAAGATGTTGACTACATGGATGACCTTAGAGTAAGTCTGGGGACTTCAGCGCCCGCTTGTTTGTTGAGGAGAGTGGGGTGGTGGTTGAGGTGGGGGGGAGGTGGTTGTTAAGTAGGTGGGGGATTTTGTGTGATTAAGAGATTTTACAAAGTTTGTTGGCTGTATGTACTAGCTCTATCTATAAAGCCAACAAACTTTGTAAAATCTCTTTATGTATGTACCTTACCTAAATAAAAATTATTATTATTATTATTATAAGTAGGGGAGGCTTATAGCTAGACTTACCTAGTCTACAATGACGTTTCATTTCCCCCCTTGGTAGATAGTCTGGCAATGGGGTATGGGCACATCATAGGTTATCCACAAGTGGGTTTCTGATTGTTAAAAGGGTTACGATCCCCTTAAAACAGAATGCAACATAAAACAGTTATCTAACTCTTGGCACCCATTTACTGCTTAGTGAACATAAGATTCAGGTGAAAGGAAGTCTGCCAAACCGTCTCTGTTAAGTGTGAACATAGCCAAACTTAGTTACAGCACTTAGAATTATGTCTATATTCAGTTCAAAACCTACCAATTATTTTGTATAGGTTGGGAATGCATCAGACTGACCTTAAATCGTATTCCAGGGACCGTATTCCAGGATCGTATTCCGTATTCCGGGATCGTATTTCCGTATTCCGGGATCGTATTCCAGGGACCATAGGATTAAGGACTTGCCCGAAACGCTACGCATACTAGTGGTTGTACAAGAATGTAACAACTCTTGTATATATCTCAAAAAAATAAATAGAATCTATGATATAAAATATCGTTGATGAGACAGAAAACGTGCGATAGTCACCGCTTGCATGGGATACTATGCTATTTTAACTGCTATGTTATGTTATTGTTATTACAGGAATACTCAGCCCATCATGCAGACGACGCCAGCGCCAAGTACACAGCTCGACTCAACAAGATCGACATGATTGACGACTACCCCCACGACGATGAGTACCACGATGACCGCTACGATGACGGCGATGATGCTGACGAAGATGATGATGATTACGACGAATACGATGATGACGATGATGAAGATGACGATGATGAGGACGAGGAAGGGGGTGGATGTGGAGGGGGTGATGATGCTGATGAGGAAGAGACAACTATGAACCCGGTACAGGAGGTTATAGAGGAGTTCTTCACCAGATGAACATAAGCAAGATTTTGATCTGTGAATCTGTTCAAGCGGGTTGTTATTGTTGATGCTGTCGAGATAATATCATTTACGGCGTTGCAAGAGGGCAATGAATGTTAGGGGGATCATCTGTGATCCCTATATATATATATATATATATATATATATATATATATATATATATATATATATATATATATATATATATATATATATATATATATATGTTGTCCTGTTGTTCAGTTGCACACAATGTTGTTCACTTGCTTACCTTGTTGTTCATCTGTATGATACCAAATGCACGTCATGGCCTTCAACTGAACATCATGCTGTTCACTTGCACACCATGTCGTTGAATTGCACATTATTTTGGGTAGAGGCACCACGTGACAAAGGGTATTGTTAGCAGATGTGCTTGTGATGTTCAAATTTGCACTCCCATGATTGAACAAAATCACAAGGAATGTGTTCATTAATGTTTAACGTGTATATGACCTGTAAACTATAAATATTTTTCAACCCATTTACTAAGAGTTCACACTGGTCTGTCACTGTCTCTGTCTGTCTGTCTGTCTGTCTGTCGAGAGAGAGAGAGAGAGAGAGAGAGTGTGTGTGTGTGTATGTTTGAGAATGGCTGCTGTAGTTCATGAGCACAACACCAGGGGAAACAAAAACATCAACTTATAACTCAACAATCTTTCTTTCCCTGAATGCTATCTCCTGATGGGTTACTTCACCCTCTCGTCTGAGTGGCTCAGAAGCATGTGGTGCTAAATCCTGCTGTACAATAAACGTTATTTGAAGCCTAATTACCTAGCCCAGTAAAGAGGTTAGTAAACGGTTTCGTTGGCAGTAAAGAGAACCAATCAGATCTCCTTGAGAGAGTATGATAGGTACTCCGTTTCCTCTCCTCTGTAACAGCACATAGCATTGCATTGCTAATCCTCAGCAAAGATTGCACTCTCAGGGTTAATGACACCTTACTGTGTGGCAACGCAGCAGATTACATTAGAGGTTAAAGATAACAATTAGCTAAGTCTTGATTGGTCATCAAATTACAACTTAGTATTTTATGCATTATCAGATAATAAAGTATAATTATCTTTACTTGCATTAGTAATCATATGAATTTGTTTATTTATTGATGGCTTTGTAGTAACTGTAAAACTTTCATACAATAATTGTATTATTGATGTATTGATACCCGTATATCAATACATCATTATCTGGCAAATCTATCTGTCATTTGTGGCTACTATCTGGCAAAGCAGATGCTCTAGTCACGTTTTTTATGATATTTGAAAAACGTTTTCTGTGTTGATTGATTGATTGTAACTCATATATCGATTGTTGATTGTATGGTTGCTTGTATGTCGATCGTTGAGGCTCTCTTGGTATTTACTACAGAGTTAACATGAACGGAAACGCTCAGAAATTTTATTTTAAAGTAATTATATCAATGAGTTTAGAACGAGTTCGTGCAGCGCTTAAGAGGTCGTAAGGTGTTTGGTAACTACCGACTAAGTCTCGGTAATCGGAATAAAGAGCTGCCGAATGGAATGGAATTATTATGGGAAATTACCAAGCCATTACAACTATATAGCATTTGGAAGGGATCAGGATAAGTATTTGGGATGGGACGGTGGGAAGGAATGGTGCCCAACCACTTGGACAATCAGGGATTGAACGCCGACCTGCATGAAGTGAAACCCAGATCTGTATTTGTTCCTAGTCTGCTATTGTAAGCGTGTCCACACCAATAAACACCAGTAACACTCGAGTATATTGCAACATTATACCGGTAAACAGTGCTATACTATACCGGTATATATAATGCACTATAATCCGGTATATAATCTATTTTGTCTACTAGTAGTGTTTTCGCGAGTTGATTGTTAATGTTTGCAACATTAGCAGGACCGAATTATCTGTGGCCTAGTACTTTAAAAACTGATGTTGAGTAATTCTTTGCATTACGTATTAAGTGTTTAAAATTATAAGGCAATATTTGGTAGTTATAGATTGTGAAATCACTTATTGTTCAACTGTATATTAACTGCATTTTATAATAAATTAGCTGTGCTTTTATTTATTTATTATTTGCCTTTGTGTGTGTGTGTAAATCACGAACAAAATAACACATGATGAATAATGTGAAAATGTATAACCACGAAGGGAAATGAAATATGAAATTACTTGAGCACTTTCGTAGTAATTATAGCACGTCTTAAATAAGTATCATCAACGAAGATTGATTGATTGGTGATGATTAAGTGTGGTGGGTGATAGTGTGGTGGGTGGTAGTGTGGTGGGTGGTAGTGTGGTGGGTGGTAGTCTAGTGGGTGGCAGTGTGGTGGGTGGTAGTCTAGTGGGTGGTAGTGTAGTGGGTGGTAGTGTAGTGGGTGATAGTGTGGTGGGTGGTAATGTGGTGGGTGGTAGTCTAGTGGGTGGTAGTGTGGTGGGTGGTAGTGTGGTACCTAGTATAGTGTGGTATCTAGTAGGGCCTGTGGTGCTGGGGGCGTTGCCCGTAGGGTGACACCGTATTATTGCCCTACATCTCTCTCGCTCCTCTTCCCCTACCTACCTCCCATCTCTCACCACCCTCCCCGTCCCTCCCTTATGGAATAAGGGAGTGCCAGAAATGCCACGGTGCCCCAGCTGCATTTAGTGGTAAGTGACCCTCCCGGCCTGAGGCAGTGTCCTGTGAATGGTGGTTTAGTTCGGTGGTTACCCCGGGCTAACAAAGTGTTGAGGGTTGTTGTGTAGCAGCCAGAGAGACCTGGATGAACAGAGAGTGTGTGTAAGTCTTTGGAGGTTACTGCTAGTTAGGTGAATATTTTAATTTTGTTTATTTTTGTTAGCAGTCTCCGTGGTGTAGTGGTAAGACACTCGCCTGGCGTTCCGCGAGCGCTATGTCATGGGTTCGTATCCTGGCCGGGGAGGATTTACTGGGCGCAATTCCTTAACTGTAGCCTCTGTTTAACGCAACAGTAAAATGTGTACTTGGATGAAAAAACAATTCTTCGCGGCAGGGGATCGTATTCCAGGGACCATAGGATTAAGGACTTGCCCGAAACGCTACGCGTACTAGTGGCTCTACAAGAATGTAACAACTCTTGTATATATCTCAAAAAAAAAAAAAAAAAAAAAAATTTACTATGCACCGCATTTATTAGTCCTATGTTAATAATTCATGTAGTGAAGATAATATATTAACATTATTAAAGGGGCAATAATTTCGAAATTATTATTTGTAAAATATACACAATAACTAGTTTATATGCTAAACAATCTAGTCAGTAAATATATTTCCAAATATCACTTAGAATCATATTTCAGAGAGGAAAAACTACAGGCATTTTTATATTTGCTTTTGTAATATAGGAATATTTGGCATCGAAATTCTTGGAATATTCTGCATGTTTTTTCTCAAATACTCGTGTCACAGGGCTCACAGTCACTGAGAGACGCTGTTTAGACACACACTAAGAACCAACAAGGTGGTTTCCACACGTCTCCAAGGCGTCGTACAAGGTGTTTCTCACTTGTCACGACTGTTGCAATTTTCTCCCGAAAGCAATTTTCACGCTTGGTGGCGAAACCGGAGTTAAAGCGTCTGGTATTTACCAGGACACTCGTTCGAATCCCACGTGTGACCATGGCGACACAACGCGTTCCTGTCATACTTGTGCAACTACGGGAATTAAACCTCACGTCGCTGGAAGACAGAAGAGTTAGGGGGGGATATGAATTCAACACACAAGATTCTCAAAGAAATTGATAGGGTAGACGAAGAGAAGGTAATTTATTTAACTCAAGGGGCACACGCACTATGAGAATACCGATCGAAATTGAGTGCGCAAATGAGCCATAAAGGCATTAGAAAGATTTTTTTAGTGTCAGATTAGTTAACAAATGGAATGCATTAGGAAGTGATGTGGTGGAGGCAGACTCCATACACAGTTTCAAGTATAGATAGGATAGAGCCCAGTAGGCTCAGGAACCTGTACAACAGTTGAGAGGCGGGACCAAAGACCCGGAGCTCAACCCTCTGAACCACAACTAGATGAGTACATACACACACACGTCCATAATCAGAGGTAACAAATATAAAGATATTGAAACATAATTTATTAAAAGCAACAATGAAAACATGTACATCCTTAAATAAACCTCACTTGAACCTAATTGAAATACGGATTCAGATGATGCACTAAATAAAGAAAATGTTCAAATGCAACAGCAACAAAAATTTGTAAATAAGTTCAACAGTTATAAAAGTTCGACATCAAATACAAAAGTTACTATAGCAAATCATTCTAATATAAACACATATTCACTCACAATTAGAGATGACAATTTTAAATACTGTAGATAATCATCTTAATATAGCTTCGTCTAAATCGAAAGTTTTCTAAATCTAATCCTCCTTGATTGGTCATCATTATGCACTTCTTAACTCTTCTAATCATCATCCTTTTTCTTTTCTTTCTTCTCTTCTGTTTTCTCTTCTTTTTTATCTTCTTTCTTCTCCTTCTTCTTATCGTCTTTATCGTCGTCTTTATCATCGTCATCATCATCATCGTCGTCATCATCCTCTTCGTCATCATCATTCTTGTCGTCGTCATTATCGTCTCTATAAAGAAATCATACAAATTCTTAATATATATATATATATATATATATATATATATATATATATATATATATAATATGTGTGTGTGTGTGTATTGCAAATCAAACACCTTGAACTCCTCCAGAGTTGAAAGTGTGCCCAAGATGCAGCAGGCAGCAGCCATTTCCCCCTCTGAACCGCGACACTGAGGCGCTGGAACAAGAAACTTGTCACTCTTTGGTCTTTTGTAATGCTGATTAGTTTGTCGTCCTGTTTGCTCAGGAATTTAAATGCACATTTATTCCACTTACAGAGGGTTTCAGGGGTACAATTGGAACAAAACTGCGTAGCAATGTGCCTGAGCTCTGTATCTGATGGCTTTCTGTGTTTTCCAGAAAAAAAATAGTGCCACGCTACTTGACTGGGCTGTATTGAAGGTAGATGCCGGCCAACATGGATGCACGTGTGTAGTCCCACACTACTAGCTAGCCGTCCTTCCAGTATAGTATGGTGACCCCGTCTGGATGCTTCTGAGCGTTGATGTGTTCGTATTGGCCATATTGACCTGCCATTCCACTATTGCTGCAGATGCGCCTCAGTTCAGTGAGGATAGGGGCGGCAAGGCGAAGGGCTACACCCATACGAAGTGCGTCGTGATTAAGGCGAGTTCTCAACACTGAGTTGGGCACAGTAAAGAAAAAATCCCCAGCATGGGGCGCTGTTATAGTTAGGAAGCGGGGTTTGTTTTCAACAAATTGTACGTTCAATAAGCAAATGTTTGAAGATAATAACCTAATATGGTGGCCAGAAAGCCAATTGGTGAGTTACCTTTTGACCCTTCCGGGTGCTACTTTCTGGGTGCTGTCATCATCTTGTGGGTCTCCTGGTGCCAGGAGAGTGCCAGTAGAGAGAGGGTCGCTATAGACTACACTGGCACAGGCAGCCAGGGCCAGCATCATCCACGCCAATCTGGAATGTGGGATGTTGATGAATTTCTAGCAGAGATATCACCCTAGGATGTTATATCTGCGTGTGAATGGGAGGGTTATCTGAGAGCGGATATTTTGTAACGGGATGATGAAAGGGAAGGGAGTAAGTTTATGTAAAAGAGATGGCTGAGAGAACGAACAGGAGAAAGTGAGAAAATGGATGGATGAGGTGAAACTCGATGCATACAACTGGATGACATGAGATAAATGACGTAATACTAGATATAACGAAGAGATTCACTTGGTTATTTTTTCAGATACTCCTACTTGTCAGTAATAATTAAGAACATAAGAGAGTAATAATTAATGAAAATGCCTAAGGCCTTCAGCTTCTATTTATTTATTTCCAAAGTTATTCGTACACATATCTAACCTACGCTTGAAACAATCAATTCCACGATTAATTATCTACACAATTTATTTGACCTGGGATTAAGAGTCTTGAGAGTTTGTTAGAAAATAATCGTGGGTTATGGACAAAAAATGTCAGAATTAGATGCATGTAAAGCTGTTCAAACAGTTAAAAACAAGGTGCGTTAACTCACTTCATGATGTTTGAGAGTGTGTTGGGGAGAGCGTCTGGCGGCAGGGTATGATGAGTGTGTGAGGTGAGGGCCTCCAGTGAGTGTCTTCAGTGACTGGGAGTAGGATACTGAGGGAGGATGGGCGCGGAAGCCTTTTTAAGGAGAGTCGTAGTCCGACTCCTCTCTCTCACCTCCCCCCCTCTACCTAACCCCTTCTCCCTCACCCCCTTCTCTTTCACCTTCTCTCGCTCCTCTTCAAGATGCCAGGAACCACTACGTCCCCTCGATACTGTACATATATATATATATATATATATATATAAATGCATTTGCCATGACAAATAATTAAACATTAAATTTAAATAAAAACTAACTTACATCCTGATCTAAAACGCCAGTTATTCCTCAGTACTGCCTAACTGGCACAACTCAGCCTAACTGAGCTAGTAGTGATTCATGCATTCATCGTTATATGTAGATTTTATTTAGGACGAACTAATATCGAAAGAGACAATTTAAAATTGTTCCTCGTTTTTTGACCTTTCGATTAATGTCCTTTTGACTTTTGTTCAGTAAGCTTTTAAGACAAAATTTTTGATTTACAACTCTTAAATCTGATGTACGCGCCGTTTTTTCTAATACAAATGTGGCCGTTTTCTTTCAACTGAGTCTAAAAGGCACGCCGCACCTTAAACGACATCTCGGTGTTTACAAAGCCATTGAAGTCGCTCGAGTCGTTCCTATATATAAATATATCCCGTTTAAAACTGTGTACGTTTAGTAACTCCGCCAGCAAACAGGAGTGGACAGCGTCAATAAAATGACATTGACTACTCGAGGCCAAAGTCAGCCATGAAATTCCGTACGTTTTGAGAGTGAAAGAGTGAAGTGTTAAATGGATATTATGTCTCGTTATTGGCTGCGTACAATGCCTCGCCTCGTAGCCTGTCATCTACGACAGCGAGCACAAACTGTGTAACACTATTAAGACCTACAAAATGTTTATGAAAGACAGACAACGGTGTTGCAAACAAATTACGAATTTTTTAAGTGATCATGACTAAGCATGGGACATTGTTATTACTTAAGGTGTGAAGCGGTGAATACAGGCAAGAAAATAGCCAAACAGAGCTCTTGAATGATTACACAATAGATAGTTCTGTCTCCAAATCTAAATAGCTCTTAACGTAATATCTATTTACCAACGAGAGTCATCCCACACTCAACGCTACTGTATTTGGTGAGTATAGTAAATGCAGTTGTATATTAGTACCGCGCGTTACCCCATTTGTACCAGGACTGTGCATTACCTTTTTGTACCAGTACTGAGCGTTACCCATTTGTACCAGTACCGCGCGTTACCCATTTGCACCAGCACTGTGCATTACCTTTTTGTACCAGTACTGAGCGTTACCCATTTGTACCAGTACCGCGCGTTACCCATTTGCACCAGCACTGTGCATTACCTTTTTGTACCAGTACTGAGCGTTACCCATTTGTACCAGTACCGCGCGTTACCCATTTGCACCAGCACTGTGCATTACCTTTTTGTACCAGTACTGAGCGTTACCCATTTGTACCAGTACTGTGCGTTACCTATTCGTTCCAGTACTGTACGTTACCCATTTGTACCAGTACCATGCGTTACCTATTTGTACCAGCACCGTACGTTACCCATTTTAGTCACATTTTGAGCAAAATCGGATTTTTGTGATTTCTAAGGAACGCACCAAATTATACCACAGAATTTGACTGGAAAACTGGCTTTGATTATCTTGTTTCGATTTACGTCCATGATTACAGGAGTGCAACCCGGAATTGGTGCTGGTGAGCGTTCCCAAAGTCAAGAAAGTGTCGTACTATAGTGCCCTAACCTAACCATTAAAGAGAATGACGTTATAGTAAGTTGTACTAAAGTATATTACGTTATGTTATATATAATGCTTTTACCTTAGGTTAGAGAAGAATTTAACACTCTAAGAATATATTGAGTTTTTGTCAGACAAATTAATGAATAATGCATTAACTATTTGGCCCCTTCTTGCAGAATAATTATAATGACAAATTCTAATTTTCAGAATTGTTTCAGTTTCTATAAATAATTTATAGGATTTACCACCGTTTTTTTCCCAAACTTTCGAAACTGAATTGTTAAGGAGTATTCCAACTTACATTATCGTAATATCTCGATAAATCTTAAGTAAGTTTGAGGACTTTAGAAAAACCCAAGGCTGAATGAATCACGTGCCTTGAAAACGTCATAGAATCGCTTGCATCCGGATTCTTGTTTCATTTCACTTCCAGTTGTATAGAGATGCGATATTGTTCCCTGCGTCACTGTCCAATACGAATGAAAAAATTAGAACATTATAATTTTTGGAACTACATGACGTCTATTTGCCCATACGAGGCATCTTTATATAAACCCAAACGCATATAGACATATTTCTTACCAGCGCTTGGAACAGTCCAAGTGATCCAGCGACCATCAAGTCGTTGTCTTTCGTGTCAAAAGGAAAGAATAATTAAGTATTCTTGAATACATTTCTGGTCAATGCAGTAAAAATCTGCTCTGTATAAAGGAGAAAAGGAAAATAATGAGAAACGGATAAGAAACGCCAAATATTGAATAAAACGTAGTATGTATTGAATAAGAAAAGAGGGTGTGGGTGTAGGAGAAGGGTTTGGGTTCAGGAGGGTGTGAGTGCTGTAGAAGGGTGTGCAGGGAGCTGGAGGTGGGTGTAGGTGTATAATCAGGGTGTAGATGCAGGTGTGGAGGAAGATGGTAATACTCGTTGCAAGGTCTGGGTGTACTGACGTGAATCCGTGAGAGCTGACCATCTCCCACTCATTTTTAAGCTCGTCTGATTGTATCAACACCTGACAATCTTCCGTGACCGTCAAGAATTGATCCCATATCTGTTGCAAAATATTTCGTACTCAACGTTTCCAGAAGCCTGTAGGCTGAGTTTCTAAATTTTAAAAAATGTAAAACATTAAAATAAGCGTCTAAAACATTTCAGGGAAGCTGTTGTTATACAAACAACATCGTAAAGCGTTTTATCGTCAATGTTGTCAATCACCCTTATCGTATCGGCGTGACTCGAGTCTCGACACCTTAGGTCCGGGTCACACTGCTTGTACGTAGTTTGACATTTCTCAACTCGGAACCAAAACAAATTCTTCTCCTTGCGAGACGTTCTCCCACACAATACAGCTTCTATGAGTGTCTTGGAGGATGCAAAAACTAGATCCTAATTGAAGCTAACTTATATAAAATCCCTAAGTTTAAACAATAATTCCTGAATAAAAAGTATATTTACACGTAAAAACCTTGATACCCAGAGTCATTATAACGTGGAAGGAAGAAATAAATAAACTCAACTTACTCATGTGAAAGTAAATGAAATTGAAGATATTTTCTTATATCCTGGATGCTTTTTAAGTTGAAATCGAGATAAATGAGTGAGGAGGATTAAGGCATTATTAGACAAGACAGGTACTTCCAGGAACTGATTTCCAGCAATAGGAAATTTATCTATAAATTTCTTGATACGTCTTGAAAAAATATTTCGAAATAAAACTGCAGTTTACCCAAAAAATATTTTGCGACTTCCCAGAAACGTTACAAAATTTTAATTGAGGCGCTGGAACAGAAAATTGGGTGCCCTTGGATCTCTGATTAGTGACAATCGGCCTTGAATCCAGTTCTATGAGAAAACCCAATGTTTTAGTGGCTATAGAGATAAATGTATACGAATTGCTCAGTTCACTCCTTGTTCTTAACTGCTTCCCTGTGGTTGGCAGCGTAAAACGGAATTGAAGTCTCAGGCAGACTTGATCCGTGTTTGTAGTCAGCCCATCAATTGTCTCCCCTTCTCCCAGGGGTCTATTGTAATTGACAATAAAGAAAACTGTGTGTGCTTAAGTTACATATTTGAAAAGAACAAAAAATATGGGTTATGCTCAGGATCTTGCATTGAATTTTAGTATGTAGTTGGTGTTGGAAATTGGTATTCGTGCAATTTTCTTATATATAAAACTCTTGATAAAACCAGTGGGAGATGTTGACTAATACAAAGACTTAGTGAATGTAGGTTTACCTTGCGAGTAAAACAAAGGATTTGGTTATCGTATATTTATTATAAAAGTTACACAATAAATAATCCAACAAAAGTGTTGTCTCAGGATGTTATAACATAGAGTTCAACTTGATCATACACTTAATAAAATTATACGATAATTAACAACTCTGTGGCATGGAATATGTGAGGGATAGCTTCTCTCTCTGAGATGATTCGGTTTGCTGTTCGAATTATGAACAGTCAGGAACAAATACCTTAGTGTTCTGGTGCAGGGAATCAAATTCGTCTATCCGTGTGTTAGAGAGTAGCAAATTCATCTATCTTTGAGCTAAAGAGTTACAAATTCGTCAGTCTGTGAGCTAGAGAGTAGCAAGTTCGTCTGTCTGTGAGCTAGAGAGTAGCAAGTTCGTCAGTCTGTGAGCTAGAGAGTAGCAAGTTTGTCAGTCTGTGAGCTAGAGAGTAGCAAGTTCGTCTGTCTGTGAGCTAAAATTACTATCCACAGATTCTGGTAAAGTATTCATTCAAGCATCAGGAACATATTATATCCGCAAAAAGACCCACTTGCACATTTTTCTCATACTATCAGAGTCCTGAAAGTCAGAACAACTGTCATTATGAGTGAATTTTGATCATTCTCATACCTGATCAAAAGTAATTCAGCAGTTATATACTGTCTATTACGTTTGTATGGATGTGAACTATGAGGCCTACAAAATGCTGACCTATGAAAGCTTATTTGTGAATGTAGGAAAATGCTGAGAGCGTTCATTGAGAGTTAATCCTTGCACTCATTGCAGTCTCCAGCCTGGAGACTGCACTCTACAAAATAATTCACTCACACTCGACGAAATAATCTCCAAATGAATGACATCGTTGTGTCTGAAGGGAATCGTGCATTCAACACAATCACCTCTTTTTGTTTTGTTTATCCAGGACAATTGTTTATCTCTGGACCCTCCTGCTTATCCAGAAATATCAACTTACTTGTTTGGAAATACAACTTAAGAATGAGTGATATATATTTATAGAATTGTGTAGCAGGTCAAATGGATAGAATAAAATAATTAACCAGCAGAGAAAGCAAGGAGGACCCCATCTCGATATTTGGAATGTTGAAGGAACTATACTGTCACAAAGATATAGATTGCTAACCAGGCATTATGAGTCTTACTGAAGTCAGGCCAATGTTGTTTAAGCTGGCTTGTTTTTGGTTTTATCAGGGATGTGTCTGTGGTTTTATCAGGGATGTGGTTGTGCTTTTATCAGGGATGTGGTTGTGCTTTTATCAGGGATGTGGTTGTGGTTGAGTTTAGAGGGATAGATGGGGGTCAGTGGTAAATTTGGTTGCAGGTTCAGTACTTTATTTTGTAATAGATTTGGTGGTGTGCTAGGTGATTAGTTTCATGGTGCGTTTTCAAGTGGGTTTCATGGTGCGTTTTCAAGTGGGTTTCATGGTGTGTTTGGTGGTGTGTTTGGTGGTGTATTTGGTGGTGTGTTTGGTGGTGTGTTTGGTGGTATGTTTGGTGGTATGTTTGGTGGTGGGTTTAGTGGTAGGTTTACTGGTGTGTTTTGTGGTTGGTATAGTGGTGGTTTCGGTGGTGCATTTTGTGGTGACTTCGGTGGTGGCTTCAGTTGTGGTTTCGGTGGTGGCTTCAGTTGTGGTTTCGGTGGTGGCTTCAGTTGTGGTTTCGGTGGGGGCTTCGGTGGTGGCTTCGGTAGTGGGTTCTGTGGTGGCTTCGGTACTGGCTTCGGTGGGGGCTACTGTTGCATCTTCAGTTGTGGCTTCAGTTGTGGCTTTAGTTGTGGCTTCAGTGGTTGCTTTTGTGGTGGCTTCGGGGGTGGCTCCGGTGTTTGGTGGTGGGTTTGGTAGCATGTTTGGTGGTGTGTTTAGTGGTATGTTTGGTGGTGTGTTTAGTGGTATGTTTGGTGGTGTGTTTAGGGGTATGTTTGGTGGTGTGTTTGGTAGCATGTTTGGTGGTGTGTTTAGGGGTATGTTTGGTGGTGTGTTTAGGGGTATGTTTGGTAATGTGTTTGGTGGTATGTTTGGTGGTGTGTTTAGGGGTATGTTTGGTGGTGTGTTTGGTGGTGTGTTTGGTGGTGTGTTTAGGGGTATGTTTGGTGGTGTGTTTGGTGGTGTGTTTGGTGGTATGTTTGGTGGTGTGTTTGGTGGTATGTTTGGTGGTGTGTTTGGTGGTGTGTTTAGGGGTATGTTTGGTGGTGTGTTTGGTGGCATGTTTGGTGGCATGTTTGGTGGTGTGTTTGGTGGCATGTTTGGGGGTATGTTTGGTGGTGTGTTTGGTGGCATGTTTGGTGGCATGTTTGGTGGTGGGTTTGGTGGCATGTTTGGTGGTGTGTTTGGTGGTGGGTTTGGTGGCATGTTTGGTGGTGTGTTTGGTGGTGGGTTTGGTGGCATGTTTGGTGGTGTGTTTGGTGGTGGGTTTGGTGGCATGTTTGGTGGCATGTTTGGTGGTGGGTTTGGTGGTATATTTGGAGGTGTGTTTTTTGGTGGGTGTACTGGAGGGTTTTTTCGTTGGTACAGTAGTGGCTTTTGTGGTGGCTTCGGTCGGAGCTTCTGTGGTGGTTTCGGTGGTTGCTTCAGTGAGGGCTTCGGTGGGGGCTTCTGTGGTGACTTCGGTGGTAGCTTCAACGGGAGCTTCAGTTATGGCTTCGGTAGAGGCTTCGGTGGTCGCTTCAGTTATGGCTTCGGTGGTGGCTTCAGTTTTGGCTTCGGTGGAGGCTTCAGTTGTGGCTTCGGTGGTGGCTTCAGTTGTGGCTTCAGTGGTGGCTTCAGTTGATGCTTCGTTTGTGGCTTCGGTAGTGGCTTCAGATGTGGCTTCAGTTGTGGCTTCGGTGGTGGCTTCAGTTGATGCTTCGTTTGTAGCTTCGGTTGTGGCTTCAGTTGTGGCTTCGGTGGTGGCTTCATTGGTGGCTTCGGTGGTGGCTTCAGTTGATGCTTCGTTGATGGCTTCGGTGGTGGCTTCGTTGATGGCATCGGTGGTGACTTTGTTGGTGGCTTCAGTTGTGGCTTCGGTTTTGGCTTCAGTGGTGGCTTCGGTGGTCGCTTCAGTTGTGGCTTCGGTGGTCGCTTCAGTTGTGGCTTCAGTGGTGGCTTCAGTTGTGGCTTCAGTGGTGGCTTCGGTGGTGGCTTCGGTTGTGGCTTCTGTGGAAGCTTCTGTGGTAGCTTCCGTGGGAGCTTCAGTTGTAGCTTCTGTAGTATTTTCGGTGGTAGCTTCGGTGGGAGCTTCTGTGGTGGCTTCAGTGGTAGCTTCAGTTATGGCTTCGGTTGTGGCTTCGGTGGTGGCTTCATTTGTGGCTTCAGTTGTTGCTTCGGTGGTGGCTTCGGTGATGGCTTCAGTGGTGGCTTCTGTGGTGGCTTCAGTGATGGATTTGGTGGTGGGTTCTGTGGTGGCTTCAGTTGTGGTTTCAGTGGTGGCTTCGGTGGAGGCCTCGGTGGTGGCTTCGGTGGTGGCTTCATTTGTGTCTTCCGTGGTGGCTTCAGTTGTTGCTTCGGTGGTGGCTTCGGTGGTGGTTTCAGTGGTGACTTCGGTGGAGGCCTCGGTGGTGGCTTCAGTTGTGGCTTCAGTTGTTGCTTCGGTGGTGGCTTCAGTTGTGGCTTCGGTGGTGACTTCAGGTGCTGCTTCGGTGGTGGCTTCGGTGGTGGCTTCAGTTGTGGCTTCGGTGGTGGCTTCAGTTGTGGCATCGGTGGTGGCTTCAGATGTTGCTTCGGTGGTGGCTTCGGTGGCGGCTTCGGTGGTGGGTTCAGTGGTGGCTTCGGTGGCGGCTTCAATTGTGGCTTCGGTAGTGGCTTCAGTGGTGGCTTCAGTTGTGGCTTCGGTGGTGGCTTCAGGTGTGGCTTCGGTGGTGACTTCAGTTGTTGCTTCGGTGGTGGCTTCGGTAGTGGGTTCAGTGGTGGCTTCGGTGGCGGCTTCAGTTGTGGCTTCGGTGGTGTGTTCAGTTGTTGCTTCGGTGGTGGGTTCAGTGGTGGTTTCGGTGGTGGCTTCGGTGGTGGCTTCAGTTGTTGCTTCGGTGGTGGCTTCGGTGGTGGCTTCAGTTGTTGCTTCGGTGGTGGCTTCAGTGGTGGCTTCGGTGGTGGCTTCGGTGGTGGCTTCAGTTGTTGCTTCGGTGGTGGGTTCAGTGGTGGCTTCGGTGGCGGCTTCAGTTGTGGCTTCGGTGGTGGCTTCAGTGGTGGCTTCGGTGGTGGCTTCAGTTGTGGCTTCTGTGGTGACTTCGGTGGTGGCTTCAGTTGTGGCTTCGGTGGTGGCTTCAGTTGTTGCTTCGGTGGTGGCTTCAGTTGTTGCTTCGGTGGTGGGTTCAGTGGTGGTTTCGGTGGCGGCTTCAGTTGTGGCTTCGGTGGTGGCTTCAGTTGTTGCTTCGGTGGTGGCTTCGGTGGTGGCTTCGGTGGTGGCTTCAGTTGTTGCTTCGGTGGTGGCTTCAGTTGTTGCTTCGGTGGTGGGTTCAGTGGTGGTTTCGGTGGCGGCTTCAGTTGTGGCTTCGGTGGTGGCTTTGGTGGTGGCTTCAGTTGTTGCTTCGGTGGTGGCTTCGGTGGTGGCTTCAGTTGGTGCTTCGGTGGTGGCTTCAGTTGTTGCTTCGGTGGTGGCTTCGGTGGTGGCTTCAGTTGTTGCTTCGGTGGTGGCTTCAGTTGTTGCTTCGTTGGTGGCTTCAGTTGTTGCTTCGGTGGTGGGTTCAGTTGTTGCTTCGGTGGTGGCTTCAGTTGTTGCTTCGGTGGTGGGTTCAGTGGTGGTTTCGGTGGCGGCTTCAGTTGTGGCTTCGGTGGTGGCTTCGGTGGTGGCTTCAGTTGTTGCTTCGCTGGTGGCTTCGGTGGTGGCTTCAGTTGTTGCTTCGGTGGTGGCTTCAGTGGTGGCTTCGGTGGTGGCTTCAGTTGTTGCTTCGGTGGTGGGTTCAGTGGTGGCTTTGGTGGCGGCTGCAGTTGTGGCTTCGGTGGTGGCTTCGGTGGTGGCTTCAGTTGTGGCTTCGGTGGTGACTTCAGTTGTTGCTTCGGTGGTGGCTTCGGTAGTGGGTTCAGTGGTGGCTTCGGTGGCGGCTTCAGTTGTGGCTTCGGTGGTGGCTTCAGTTGTTGCTTCGGTGGTGGCTTCATTTGTTGCTTCGGTGGTGGGTTCAGTGGTGGTTTCGGTGGCGGCTTCAGTTGTGGCTTCGGTGGTGGCTTCAGTTGTTGCTTCGGTGGTGGCTTCGGTGGTGGCTTCAGTTGTTGCTTCGGTGGTGGCTTCAGTTGTTGCTTCGGTGGTGGCTTCAGTTGTTGCTTCGGTGGTGGCTTCAGTTGTTGCTTCGGTGGTGGCTTCAGTTGTTGCTTCGGTGGTGGCTTCGGTGGTGGCTTCATTGGTGGCTTCGGTGGTGGCTTCGGTGGTGGCTTCAGTTGTTGCTTCGGTGGCGGCTTCAATTGTTGCTTCGGTGTTGGCTTCGGTGGTGGCTTCAGTTGTTGCTTCGGTGGTGGCTTCAGTTGTTGCTTCGGTGGTGGCTTCAGTTGTTGCTTCGGTGGTGGCTTCAGTTGCTTCGGTGGTGGCTTCAGTTGTTGCTTCGGTGGTGGCTTCAGTTGTTGCTTCGGTGGTGGCTTCAGTTGTTGCTTCGGTGGTGGCTTCACTTGTTGCTTCGGTGGTGGCTTCACTTGTTGCTTCGGTGGTGGCTTCACTTGTTGCTTCGGTGGTGGCTTCGGTGGTGGCTTTGGTGGTGGCTTCAGTTGTTGCTTCGGTGGTGGCTTCGGTGGTGGCTTCAGTTGTTGCTTCGGTGGTGGCTTCAGTTGTTGCTTCGGTGGTGGCTTCAGTTGTTGCTTCGGTGGTGGCTTCGGTGGTGGCCTCGGTGGTGGCTTCGGTGGTGGCTTCAGTTGTTGCTTCGGTGGTGGCTTCGGTGGTGGCTTCAGTTGTTGCTTCGGTGGTGGCTTCGGTGGTGGCTTCAGTTGTTGCTTCGGTGGTGGCTTCAGTTGTTGCTTCGGTGGTGGCTTCGGTTGTTGCTTCGGTGGTGGCTTCACTTGTTGCTTCGGTGGTGGCTTCACTTGTTGCTTCGGTGGTGGCTTCGGTGGTGGCTTTGGTGGTGGCTTCAGTTGTTGCTTCGGTGGTGGCTTCAGTTGTTGCTACGGTGGTGGCTTCAGTTGTTGCTTCGGTGGTGGCTTCAGTTGTTGCTTCGGTGGTGGCTTCAGTTGTCGCTTCGGTGGTGGCTTCGGAGGTGGCTTCAGTTGTTGCTTCGGTGGTGGCTTCAGTTGTTGCTTCGGTGGTGGCTTCGGTGGTGGCTTCAGTTGTGGCTTCGGTGGTGACTTCAGTTGTTGCTTCGGTGGTGGCTTCGGTAGTGGGTTCAGTGGTGGCTTCGGTGGCGGCTTCAGTTGTGGCTTCGGTGGTGGCTTCAGTTGTTGCTTCGGTGGTGGCTTCATTTGTTGTTTCGGTGGTGGGTTCAGTGGTGGTTTCGGTGGCGGCTTCAGTTGTGGCTTCGGTGGTGGCTTCAGTTGTTGCTTCGGTGGTGGCTTCGGTGGTGGCTTCAGTTGTTGCTTCGGTGGTGGCTTCAGTTGTTGCTTCGGTGGTGGCTTCAGTTGTTGCTTCGGTGGTGGCTTCATTTGTTGCTTCGGTGGTGGCTTCAGTTGTTGCTTCGGTGGTGGCTTCATTGGTGGCTTCGGTGGTGGCTTCGGTGGTGGCTTCAGTTGTTGCTTCGGTGGCGGCTTCAATTGTTGCTTCGGTGTTGGCTTCGGTGGTGGCTTCAGTTGTTGCTTCGGTGGTGGCTTCAGTTGTTGCTTCGGTGGTGGCTTCAGTTGTTGCTTCGGTGGTGGCTTCAGTTGTTGCTTCGGTGGTGGCTTCAGTTGCTTCGGTGGTGGCTTCGGTGGTGGCTTCAGTTGTTGCTTCGGTGGTGGCTTCAGTTGTTGCTTCGGTGGTGGCTTCACTTGTTGCTTCGGTGGTGGCTTCACTTGTTGCTTCGGTGGTGGCTTCGGTGGTGGCTTTGGTGGTGGCTTCAGTTGTTGCTTCGGTGGTGGCTTCGGTGGTGGCTTCAGTTGTTGCTTCGGTGGTGGCTTCAGTTGTTGCTTCGGTGGTGGCTTCAGTTGTTGCTTCGGTGGTGGCTTCGGTGGTGGCTTCGGTGGTGGCTTCAGTTGTTGCTTCGGTGGTGGCTTCGGTGGTGGCTTCAGTTGTTGCTTCGGTGGTGGCTTCAGTTGTTGCTTCGGTGGTGGCTTCGGTTGTTGCTTCGGTGGTGGCTTCACTTGTTGCTTCGGTGGTGGCTTCACTTGTTGCTTCGGTGGTGGCTTCAGTGGTGGCTTTGGTGGTGGCTTCAGTTGTTGCTTCGGTGGTGGCTTCAGTTGTTGCTACGGTGGTGGCTTCAGTTGTTGCTTCGGTGGTGGCTTCAGTTGTTGCTTCGGTGGTGGCTTCAGTTGTCGCTTCGGTGGTGGCTTCGGAGGTGGCTTCAGTTGTTGCTTCGGTGGTGGCTTCAGTTGTTGCTTCGGTGGTGGCTTCGGTGGTGGCTTCAGTTGTTGCTTCGGTGGTGGCTTCATTGGTGGCTTCGGTGGTGGCTTCAGTTGGGGCTTCGGTGGTGGCTTCGGTGGCGGCTTCAGTTGTTGCTTCGGTGGTGGCTTCAGTTATGGCTTCGGTGGTGACTTCAGTTGTTGCTTCGGTGGTGGCTTCGGTGGTGGCTTCAGTTGTGGCTTCAGTGGTGGCTTCGGTGGTGGCTTCAGTTGTGGCTTCGGCGGTGGCTTCATTTGTTGCTTCGGTGGTGGCTTCGATGGTGGGTTCAGTGGTGGCTTCGGTGGCGGCTTCAGTTGTGGCTTCGGTGGTGGCTTCGGTGGTGGCTTCAGTTGTGGCTTCGGTGGTGAGTTCAGTTGTGGCTTCGCTGGTGGGTTCAGTGGTGGCTTCGGTGGCGGCTTCGGTGTTGGCTTCGGTGGTGGCTTCAGTGATGGCTTCTGTGTTAGCTCCAGTTGTGGCTTCGGTGGTGGCTTCAGTTGCTTCAGTGATGGCTTCTGTGTTAGCTCCAGTTGTGGCTTCTGCGGTGGCTTCTGTGGTGGCTTCTGTGGTGGTTTCGGGGGTGGTTTCGGTGGGGGCTTCGATAGGAGCTTCAGTTATGACTCCGGTGATGGTTTCGGTGGTAGCTTCGTTGGTGGCTTCAATGGGAGCTTCTGTTGTGGCTTCGATGGTGGCTTCAGTTGTTGCTTCAGTCGTGGCTTCTTTACTGGCTTCAGTTGTGACTTCGGTGGTGGCTTCAGTTGTGGCTTCAGTTGTGGCTTCGGTGGGGGCTTCAGTGGTGACTTCGATGGGGGCTTCGGTGGGGGCTTCAGTTGTGACTTCGGTGGTGGCTTCGGTGGGGGCTTCGGTGGAGGCCTCGGTGGTAGCTTCGGTGGTAGCTTCGGTGGTAGCTTCGGTGGTAGCTTCGGTGAAGGCCTCGGTGGAGGCCTCGGTGGAGGCTTCGGTAGTGGGTTCAGTGGTGTTGTCATCGACACGCATCCTGTTCAAGGTAAAAGTAAAATAATGTTTAAAGACGCAAGAAAAAAACTTGTCCTACACGACGAATATTTGCTGGAGAACACGACAGCGATCCTTATCACGCTTAGGAAGAGTTGATAGTCAAGCACGTTATCGGGGCAGTAACAGGTAATCCAATACCTTAATTTGCATACGAACCTTGTCTGCTGGGAACTAGTTGTCACAAGACCTGCTGCTAGGAACACTATTATCGCTCTTGTCATATATGCTCACCCAAATGTAGGGTTGAGATTATTAGAGTAACAGATATAGCCACCCCAAGGTTCAAGGCTCCCCAAGAATTATCCTCAATCGATTTCTCAACTTTTCTCAACCCATATTCAGCCCAGTTCTGAACAAGAAATACGTAAGGTTGCGTACCCAAACACTGGAATGACTTCATGTATGTCCCCCTCTGTTAGGTCGTCCTTGTCACTGAGAGCGTCGTTCTGTTTCTTCAGGACGAAGCCTGAAGTGGCACACACAAAGGCCAGGAGACCCAGCAGCGCGAAGTTGTACCTGTGGGGGAGAGGAGAGGGTGAGAGATATGATAACACGAAGCTGTACCTATGGGGGAGAGGTGAGAGGAGAGGGTGAATTTATTCAATCAAATCTAAGGTTCTATTTACATAATTTTGTTCATTTATAAACCTTTGTTCTTTGACAATTGGGATTTTTACATAAGAATTACAGCACATTAACTATACAAAAGAGGGTATATAATAACAATAGAAAGCACGTAGACAATGTCATTATCAGAAACAGAACACGCTTTCGAACGCAAAAAAACGTAAATTGACGTACAATTTCGACGTTCCATGTTTATTAAAGTTGTTAGAGTATATGTTAAAGAAACTTACCATAACAACAATATTTTAGCTTTCTCACATGGGGTTATAGTGTGCAGGCGTTTAACTTTAAGGGCATGGTGTACAGCAGGTGTCCCACGCAGCTGTAGTTAGGTCAGTTTCAATCTCGTCTGGCCTATTTATAGCTCTGCTGAACGGTGTTGAATGTTACTTTTGCATATATTATAAGACCCCGCGGAGTCCTCCTTGTCGTTCTTTACCCCTTTTTTTGCATGAACGTTATATTTGTACCTAATTTCATTGTAAACCTGGGATTTACAATGAATTTGTAATTAAAAAAGAATAAACTTTTTAATAGATAATCTGGGAACTACCACAGATAAACCTCACACAGTTTAATGTAGTACACCTGGCACTAATAAGCTTAGAACAACAGCACGTAAACCTTGCACGCCTAAGCTGAGTTGCTAATATCCATTTGCTGAAGTCAGCTTAAGTCCTAGCAGAGAGACTCTCACCTCATGATGGAGCTGAGCCTCTGGAGTACTAGACGAAGGCTGGCTGGTAGTGGGTGGTAATGAGACAAGTTGCACCAGAGGACACTTATATACTCTTCACATGTATATTGGATAATTTGATGTACTTAACCTCTAGGTGCCATAAGCCGCTTCACATACGATAAGGTCAAGTTTTTCCCCTAATGCAGGTTCATCCCAATTATATTTCGTGCTTCGTATTAGTTTATTATCAGCGACATAAGTTGGTTAATCGTTTCAGATTTTGGCAAAATTGTACAATTCTTCCGTTTTCTCAATTTTCTGTTAATGATAAAGTGTGACGCTTGAGCGTCAAGCAGTCATATGTCCCCACGACAAGTGTGTGTGTGAGTGTGAGTGCTGTCCTTATTTCTTCCTGCTCTTCATCTCTCGTGTTCAGTTTAAAACTGCGTATTAGCATTAAGGTAGAGAGCAAAGAATAGCTGTTATTATATGAAACATTATACACATTCGTGCATGTGTATAATGCATGTGTAACCACTGCATGTGAAAAATTATAAGAACATTAATATAATACAGAATGACAACGAACTCAAGATTAAAATACATTGTATTTGATCAATGAAGAAATAATCAGGAACATTAAAATCACAAAGACCATATAATCGTATCACAAAATCATTGATGTTTAAGCAAATATTTGAGCACCCGCAATGATATTTATGTTTATTTTCACTCTGTGGTCAAAAACTGAACTGCATAGTCTAAACTGACTTAAAGAAAAGAACGTCAAGATAGGACTTAAAATTTATTTTACATGACACGAAAGTAACTTTTTCACATAGGCATTATGGGACCTCTATCCATACCACGGTGGTGCAAAAATTGTCTCGAACATTGGCGCCCACAGCTGTCCTAGCCACAGAAAGCAAAGACAGTTTCGAATTGGTATTCAGGTAAAAGCTCGAACAGAGCAAACCGGAAGTATCAAAGTTTGAGGGTAAGAGTAAGATGCAATGTGCTTGATTTATGTGCGAATAAAATATAAAGGGGAAAGTGTCATAAAAGAGTTGACTGGAGTAGATGTTATAAAAACAAGAGTGATTGAAAATGAATGGAATATGTTCATGAATAAAGTTCATGATGGAATAATGTTCATGAATGGGCAATGAGTAGTTTCTCTTATTGCAGTGCAAAATGCTTGTACGTGAGCTTCAAATTTGGAAGCGTAAAGGTGAAAATCGTTATAAAATACGCACAAAATGATGGCAGAAATACAAATTATTAGTTTTAAACAACTTAGTCTCGGAGAATGAGATCGATATAGTATCTAGGAGTAATATAATAAAATAATTAAGCTGAATAGCAAAATGAAAATTTATCCCATCAATGGCATGAGTGGAAATTGTTCCCATTAACCAATGAAAATGCTTGTAGATGAATGCAATAAAAAATATGAAATTAATGATGTATATGTCATTCAATAGTATATACATAGACATGCTTGGTAAATGACAAATTAAGACACTGAAAAAATGAGTTGAATTGACTTTGTGCTTATTTAAAATATTCTGTTTTCAATTATGTAATGGATACAAAATGCGAGATTATTGCTAGAGGGTTGTCTGGTAATATGTTGTTCTTAAGAGGCAGGGGGGGAAGAAAGGTGTGCTTCTGCTCTTAATTTGGTTGGCATTAATGCCTCGAAGCATTTAAAAGCATTTTTTTGTTTTTGGTATCTGTTACTGTTTCTAAAATTAACGTATATTTTATTACAGCAATTTATAATAGAAATAATTTAAACATAATTTGAACTAGGCTTTTCGCTGAAAGTCAAATTTTTATTTTTGTCTGAAAGTCCATCTTGCCACAATTCAATATTGTTAACATTTCTGATTAAACTTATTTCATGCCATTGTATAAATGAATTTTATAGTTAGTCGTAAATTATGTCATAAATATTAGGTGTTTGTGGCTTGTTAATTATGCATTAAATATTACTTTGATATGTCCTATATGTCTTTCACACGAAAATTTAGTCGATATTTTGGAATGATTCCCAAAATAATCGTTAGGTTTAGACGTTGGTTCATATTTGTATAAAAGAGGATGTTTGTCGAAGGTTGGAGTCTAAACGTTTGGGGGCTCACCAAACTTTGCAGGGTGACTGGTGGGTATATTTGGAATGGTCATCGTTGGGATCTGGTTCAGTCCCCCAAGCAAAACCAAGTTTATGAAAATCAAATGTTCCGGGCCAGGTCCATAGAGTTTATCATTTAATTATATTTTCCACATATTTGAAAACACAATTCAGTATATATTGTTTAGATGGGGAGTCCAGGTATTACAGTATATCAAATAGAGAAGAGAATATCTCCCCAAAGTTGTAGACGAGATACTTTGGGCTAGCCTAAAAAAAACTTTGCAGGGTAACTGGTTGGTGTTCAAGGAGGGTCATAAGGGACTTGGGGGTGAGCTCCCACGCTCACATTAATGAACTTTACGAAGTTCATGAGCAGAAAGCATGCCAAAATACGTGTTCTTATGGGAGAGTTGCACTGTGCGGGCTCCCAGCACTTACGTGGGGCAAATTATTAGTCAACCGGGGAACTACTGGGTATCCGATGAAGTACGTAATATAAATATTATAATTAATTATATTATATAATTTCACATGCACTCTCATCTCTCTTCACCTATCCCCACTCACCTTTCTCCCCTCCCTCTCACCCTTCTCTCTTTCAGCCCTTCCCTCACACCTGTCTCCTCTCTCACCCGTCTCCCTCCTTCTCCCTCTCACCACCATTCTCCCCACCACTCTCTCCTTATCTTTCTCAAACATCCCCTTCTCTCTCTGCATGTCTTTCCCGCTCATTTTCTGTCTCTCACTCTCTGTCCCTCTCTCTCTCTCTCTTTTTTAAACTAAGACTAGGGGGGTTCATAAGGGCAATCAGATGACGTACTTAGACACTACAAGCAAGAACTGTTATCCTATCTCAGCTCTTCTGAAGCCTGCTTCTAGAGACTCATTCATTTCATGAGAATGTACTTTGAAACTATCACATAGGCAACAATCTTATAAGGATCTTGGTGAAACTGCAAGAGCTGTATTCCTTCCTCAGCTCTGTTGAAACCTAGAGACCCACTTGTTTCATGAATCTGTTATATGCATCAATAGGAATAGCATTTATTTATTCACAACATTAGGTAACAATCATATAAGGAACGGGATGAGCCCGTAGAGAACTGTGCCGGAGCTCTCTCTCTCTCTCTTTCTTTCCCTCCTATTTGTGGAAGGATATTTTCTGGTAAATAAAAGTCATCTTATATTGCAACGTTTACAAGCGAATCTTCTTGAAACAATAAAAATAATAAAGCTGAACATTATTTGCAGACATATATATCTCTAATACAATAATCAATAATCAAATACAATAATCTTTAATCAATAATAAAAATATATTTTTCTAGAATATATATTATTAACTTTCCAAGACTCAACGTAAACAACAATTGATTATGATCATAATTGTTTGTGGGATTGATTGTTTCCCTTCTAGTTATTTGGTGTAGTTGTTGGTTTATTGTTCGTTTGTTTTACTTAAATCTTGTGCTCTTGTTTGTGTGTTTACTTATTTTGGTAATTTTGTTCTTCGTGGTCATGTTATTTAGGTTTTTGATTTTGTTCTTGTTCTCATTAACATATGTTCATGTTATTTTTGCTGGTCTTGTTGGAGTAGCTATTCATGTCTTTGTCAATATTTGTTTTTGTTTTTTTGTTCATTTATAATTATGCAGATTTTAACATTTCTTTTTTTTTCCAAAGTATTTTTTGTTGTTTTTGCGTCAATACTCTTTTTTTTTATATTCAAATTAATAGTTATTAACTTATCTGCTAATTTCAGCTAATGTTAAAATATATTTATACTTTTTTTTTAATTAGGTGAAAAGTTTTAAGCTTAAATGAATTGAGGTGAAAATCTTCTTATTTGCTTCTTATTTAATACAATATTTTTAGTGGCAGATGGGTCAACACCACATTAAGTTTTATTGGTAATTTTGGATGTACTTTGCTGGTTTCGTTGCTCTTGTAGAATTAAATGTGGTGGATGGTTAATTAAATGGTGATTGTACTGGAATTAGTAGTGATCTTGATTGAAGTTTCTTTAGTGGGTTAAGTGGTGGGTTTGGTTGTGGGTTTGGTTGTGGGTTTAGTGGTGGGGTTGGTTGTGTGTTTAGTGGTGGGTTTGGTTGTGTGTTTAGTGGTGGGTTTAGTGGTGGGTTTGGTTGTGTATTTAGTGGTGGGTTTGGTAGTGAGTTTAGTGGTGGGTTTGGTAGTGGGTTTAGTGGTGGGTTTGGTTGAGTGTTTAGTGGTGGGTTTGGTTGTGTGTTTAGTGGTGGGTTTGGTAGTGGGTTTAGTGGTGGGTTTAGTGGTGGGTTTAGTGGTTGGTTTGGTAGTGGGTTTAGTGGTGGGCTTGGTGGTGGGATTAGAGGTGGGTTTAGTGGTGCAGTTATCAACCATGGTGTCGTCGACGCGCATCCTGTGGGAGGCCAGAGAAGAAAAAGGTTAAAAGCCGCAGAGATTATTTCTTGAGACAAATAATATACTTGAGAAGAATTCTGAGGAACAAATTTATAGAAATATCTTTATCTTAATCAGTTTTATGTGTCTTGTGAACAGTAAGTATTCAAGAATACAGTAGGGAAGTGATAGATAATTCCACACCTTAATGTGTATACTTAGTGTTATCTTCTGGGGACTCACAGCAGATAACTAGGAAACAGGATCCTCTTGCTGGGATCTTGTTCCCAGCAGGAGGATCTGTTGTCACTAATCCTCTTGCTGGGAACCCTGTTGTCACTGGCTTGCTCTCAGCAAGCCACACCAACCCACCATCGCTAACTTGAACATCATCAAATTTAGAAATACCAGAAAGTGTTGTTAATCTCTCCGATCAATCCCTTATTAAAACCGGCTCATCAGTCATGAATTCCTATTCACCGCCTGAGTACCATTTACGTCTGTAACATAGCAAGTGAACTGGAGGCTTAAGGTCATTATTTATATATATATATATATATATATATATATATATATATATATATATATATATATATATATATATATAATGCTAATTCTCCTTTTCACCTCAGCTTTGAGTTTGATCCACATTGGAAATCACTTCAACCAATTTAAGTTTGTCTTAACCGATTTCTCAGCTTTTTTCAACCGATTACTCAGGTCTTTTCGATCATTAGTTCAGTTTCCCTTAACCGATTACTCAGATTCGCGCTTCTCTCCTTGTTCACCAAACAACAATTAGGTTAGGCTTCATATAATCTTTGAGAGGTTGAGCTACAAGCCTATAATCAGTTATAACTGGTTTTGTACCCACTTTCAATCATTTCAACTCCACTTATAACCGACCTCGTAATCCAGTTCACCCAATACTTAGCCCAATCCTCAAATGGAAGTACATAAGGTTACTTACCTATCCACTGGAACGCCTTCAAAGAAAGCCTCTTCAGGAAGGTCGTCCGTGTCGCTGAGAGCGTCGTCCTGGTTCTCCAGGACGTAGCCTGAAGTGGCAAACATGAAGGCCAGGAGACCTAGTAGCACGAAGCTGTACCTTGTGGGTGAGGTGAGAGGAGAGGGTGAGACATATGATAACATGAAGCTGTACCTGTGGGGGAGAGGGGAGAGAAGATGAGAGATATGATAACACGAAGCTGTACCTGTGGGGGAGGGGTGAGAGATATGATAACACGAAGCTGTACCTGTGAGGAAGAGGTGAGACGAGAGGGTGAGAGATATAACACGAAGCTGTACCTCCGGGATGTTAGGAAGAGGTAGGAAATTAACAAAGTATAGGAATCACTGACTGTTGCCTATGTTGTACCAATTTTTAAGAAGTTGTATATATATATATATATATATATTACGTGCGTTGATATATCGGCCAATTAGCATGACATCTATTGTGTTAAAATTGCGTGGATTGAATATCTCAAATTCTATTCGTACACAACTTCAAATAATCAGATACATAAAGACCTCTCATATTTTCTTTTTATAATATTTAAATTAGTTTGAAGGGAAAAAGATTGTGATGTTATGTAACTGGACTTAACTAACTGGATTTTGTAACTGGACAAAATCTTTGATATTGCTATTCATTAAAAGTATTTACAACATATAGGAAATTTTTTATATAATGGACTAATTAAATTGGATTTAGTATTCGTAATTTCAAAGGAAACGGAGTTAGCAAATAAAATTATGGTCATAAGGAAACTGATGAAAACAGAGTGTTCTAAAGGCTCTATCCTCTGACTTCTGTTGTTTATTTTATACAAAAACGACTTAAGATATTTGCAAATTTACAAATTATATTGAAATACAGAGGTACATAAATCCAGATGAACTCAATATCGCCAAGGAGAGAAATATTGACAGATGTAGTTTAATCCCAACAAAGTTAGGGTTTTGAGCTTAGGAAAAGATGATGAAGTTGCCGGATATGAACTGAGGGACGTTAAAAGATATTTTAAGCCAGACAAATTAACGTAAAATAATTTTTTGACAAGACAATTTGGATACTGGGATTAATATCCAAAAGCGTTAGTTATAAAACCATCAAATATTACCTGCTTATTCATATTATTTAGTTCAGTTTAGGGCAACCTATAATAGAACGGATTTCCATTACTTCTACTCTCACTTTAATTTCTGAAATTTACACATATACCTTTACTGGAAATAATACTGGCCTCTTTATTATGCATAATATCCTTTCCCTACAAGTCTTCCAGCTGCTCTGTTCACAGAGGAATCCAATATCTTCAGTTTTAATTCTTGTAGAGTTACCAAAATAATTGAAAGACGTGTATTTGTTCTAAAGATTGTGATTCGTAATTCCTCTCACGGTTCGCAAGGAAAGCAAAGTTACAAGAAATACTTGCTAGTTAGTCTTTATCTGTCTGTCAGTCTTAAGCCAGTCAATCTCTCGTAAACCAGACACTGCTAATCTCTGTTATATCACAGATAAACCTCACACAGCTCAGTTTAGTCCAACTTCAAGTAAAGGTAACACTACTACTCTTAATCCAACTGCACGTACCCTAGTACTCGTAAGCTAAGTTTCTAATATATTTTTAGTAGGACAGCTTAAGTCATAGCAGAGAAAACTCACCTCATGCTGGACCTGTAGAGTCTCTGGAGCGGGAGACGAAGGCTGGCTGGTAGTGGGTGATATTGAGATAGGTCACACCAGAGGACAGTTATATACTCATCCTGTGGATATTGGATAATTTCATGCATTCAACATCGAGGTGCCAGGGGCCGCTATACACGAGTTTCCTCTAATGCACGTTCATCCCAGTTATAATCAGCGTGTCGTACTAGTTTATTCACAGCGACATGAATGGGTTATACTCGTTTCAGGTTTTGGCAAAATTGTGACATGATTCTGTCAACTCGATTTTTCTGATAATAATTTAATGTAACGCTGAAGCGGCTGATTGTCAATAGCCCCGCTACACGTTTATGTGTGTGTTTATGTCTTCTTGTATATTATCATTGGTGTTCAGTTAAAAAATATGTATTAACTTGAAGGTTGAAAACAAATTACTATTATCCTCATATGCATTCATCACGTGGCAAAGTTTTCGTAATTATTAGAACAGATTAATAAAATAAAACACAACTTCGATGCAGATATTATTTGTTAGGAATAATTTGTAAAACTTGAGCCAGTACTGATGCATTAATTACTGAGGTGTGAAGTTCTTCTGATTGGTGAGGTACAGTGTGTTTATGAGTGACGAAGTGCAGTGTACTTCTGAATGGTGAAGCACAATGTGCCGTACATCTGAGTTGCGAGGAATGGTGTTCTTCAGTTATTAGTTGGGATGGTATTGGAAATTCTCAAAATATTCACTCAATTTGCATTTCATGAATTCTGGTTCTTTTCCCAAAATTTATATACGTTTTATTACAGAAATTTATAATACAAACAACATGTATTTTTTAATCGAGCTTAACAACAATAGGTTTAAAGTTGAATAAAACCTCATTTGTAGGAACATATACCTTGAGCCACACGTAAGAATTTGTAAATTAAAGTTTCCGACCAAAATAATTTGGTATCTCCTGCATATATATTTGCTACTTAATCATGTATTAGGTCATAATTTTGAGGAGATTGCGCTTGTTAATTATGCATACAATATTACTTGTTTATGTCCTATATTTCTTTCATACGAAAATTAATTAGATTTTTTAAAAATTAATCATTTGGTTCAATCACTGGTCCCTAGGTTCCAATCATAACAGGGAAAAGTACAGTACAGTGAAAAATAGATAACCGGTTCATTTGGGTTTCTATAGGATCTGCGACTCTTGGCCCACAAATATATTTCATGAGATGAAATATATTTGTGGGTGATATATATATATATATATATATATATATATATATATATATATATATATATATATATATATATATATATATATATATATATATATATATAATATATATATAATATATATATATATATATATATAAATATATATATATAATATATATATATATATATATATAAATATATATATAAATATATATATAAATATATATATAAATATATATATAATATATATATATATATATATATATATATATATATATATATATATATATATATATATATATATATATATATATATATATATATATATATATATATATATATATATATATATATATATATATATATATATATATATATATATATATATATATATATATATATATATATATATATATATATATATAAGAGAGATGAATCACTTATTCGAGGGAAGTTGGTAATCTTGCCTTGTATTCTCATTAGCTGGCTAGATCAATAGGTGAGGTGATGACGGTTCTATTTTAGTCTTGAGGATGATATACTCATCATTCACATCAAGATATACTTTTCATGATCTCTTTTAATTTCTTCCGAAGACTCGTAAGGCGGCTTTGGACACATCTTAGTTTTAATAGATTAAATTAGTTGAGTAATCTCAGTTTAATAGAACACTATTCAGTGTTTTCATTATTAAAAATGTAATAAACCGTAATGGATCAGTTGAGTAAGGCAAAGAGGAGGGTAATATTGTTTAAAAACACATACGCTCTTCCTCTCTTAAAGATTTAACTTAAAGGTTTATAATTTGTTAAAAACTTTGATATTATCGATAATTTCTCTCTAGATTCTATCTCTTGAATTGCCAAATAAATTAGAAATATAAAAAGTGAAATTTCTTTTATAAATTTAACAAAATTAACGACTGATATGCTCATTATATTTCAATACAATGCGGCATGCAGCGGGTTGATTTCTTGCCTTCCGCTCAAAATCTTTCACTGAATAGGTAAATTAATAAAAGATATTTGCAATGTTATTCTTTACTAAACAATATCCTCTCGACACACACTAATAACTGAAAGCTTCATGTCATGAAGACATTGGTATCATAAAAACAATTTTATTTAAATCAACATCAATGTTTATGTACAAAATATGTGTGCAAGATAACTTGACTAAGACTTTCACAGAATTATTCCTTCTGTTGATCGTATTATTGTACGTTTTTGTTATCGATATTAGTCATGAGGTTACAGTTGTTTTTGTCTTTGCTGGCTTTAGTTTTGCTATGTTCTTGTTATCTTGTTAATATCTTTGTTGTGAATGTTTTCTATTGGTGTTATGTTCTTGTTTATTTGTCCCTGTTGTTCAAAATGTTATCAGTAATTTGTTATTGTTGTTATTCTCAACATTCTTATTCTAAATATTTCTATACTTGCTCGTAATTATCACCAAGCTGGCCGATATTCTTCCCGCTTGAGATGGTATTGGTTCATTTTTTGCTCGTATCATTCGACAGGTTTTCTCTGCATTTTGTTTAATTTTACCAAAATCTTCTTACCGTTGAGGACTGGATATCTTTTATCATATGAGCCTGATCTATTTGAGTGTATCCGGTAATTCAGCTTGATCCAGGGAGTCTGCAGGATTAGAAACTGCTGGATCTAGTTGTTTACTCGGTTCTAAGGCGAGTGGAACGGTTTAATGAGACGTAGTTCAGAGGAAGGTTGCCCGTCCTCTGAACTACTTCTCATTTTGTACGTTATTATCTCCTAACATTCAAAATACGATGTACTGTGCAAAGAAGCAGCTCACAGATATCCGCACTTTCTATATATTTTATATATTGTGGACGATCGGGAGAATGGATTGCCCTAGCGAGCCGTGTGGTGTTTCATCAGGTCAAGGTGAATCTTGTACCCTTTCAACTTGGCTAGAAGACTCTTTTGAGTTAACGGCCTGGCCTGGGGGCTATGGTTGGCCAAAATCCTGGTGGCCAAGTAAATTTGGTTGGCCAAAATATGGGTGGCCAGACCAATATTTTGCTGTCCCCAGGTCTGTCAGGTATGGCCCTGCAAGCATTAGAAACGTGTTAGAAACTTTACTTTTCATAACCTTTTTTTTAAACAATAAAAATTGGGTGGAGAAAGTGGTCCCAGCCTTGGGAGAGGGGGAGAAGTCCCAGGTTTTTTATAGAGGGAGTTTTTTTCATGAAGATTGTTAATATAATAGCAAACAGAATGTTAGGCTGGTACTACCATAGATAATAGAGAGAGAAGCAGACGTCGAGCATTTATGAATACAGAGATGGATCTTGTAAGGTTAGAAGTGTATCCGTACCTGTGAGTTAGTTTATCCGGACATAACTACGCATGTGAAAGTGTCTATTCGTTTAGATATCACTTCCACTCTAAACCTGTTATGTTCATCTCTGTTTTCAACCTGCATAATGGGCCCAACTTGAACTTTACCTCTTTGGTTGATCGTCATCGTGGTTGGCTACCTCTGGAAGGTCGTCCTTTACGCTGAGAGCGTCGTCTTGGTCGTCTTCTAAGTGGTTCAGTTCTGGAAGATCTTCCAAGTCTCTGAGAGAGTCGTCTTGGTCGTCTTCTAAGTGGTTCAGTTCTGGAAGATCTTCCAAGTCTCTGAGAGCGTCGTCTTGGTCGTCTTCTAAGAGGTTCAGTTCTTGAAGATCGTCCAAGTCTCTGAGAGCGTCGTCTTGGTCGTCTTCTAAGAGGTTCAGTTCTGGAAGATCGTCCAAGTCTCTGAGAGCGTCGTTTTGTTCGTCTTCGAAGTTCACATCTGGAAGGTCGTCCGTGTCGCTGAGAGCGTCGTCCTGGTCATCCAGGACGTAGCCTGAAGTGGCACACACGAAGGCCAGAAGACCCAGTAGCACGAAGCTGTACCTGTAAGGGAGAGGAGAGGGCAGAGGGTTAGAGACATGATAACACGAAGCTGTACCTGTAGGGGAGAGGTTTAGAGGAGATCTTTTAGAAGAATTGGATACTCTAGTGGGTATTTTTCACAGATCGTCAAGGGGGTGGTGTTTATATATACGTGTGGGTATGAGTGTTCTGCTTTTTCGGACCTCCTATAGAAGCTATAGTATCATATAGCCTTACCTATGCTTATAATTCCCGTGACAACAAACCAAATTTTCCCACATGTACTTCACGATCGTTCATGTATTTCACTCAAGAGAGAATGTTTGTGGTTCATCTATCCATACATACATACATGCAACTCAAGTCTTCCGTTAAATGCAGAATAACCACATTTGAGTTTTGACGGTAAAGGTGATTGTCAGGAGAAAATGTTAATCCATTACAAATATGTAGCACTTGGAAGGGGGTATATAGACAAGGATTTAAGATAAAACAAAGGGTAGGAATGGTGACCAAATACTTGGACGATCGGGAACTAAACGCCAGGGGATCAGTAGAAAGCTACACCGTCGCTCTACCCTATTGGATACATTTGTGATTGCAGAGTCCACACTTCCTCACACACATTCATGACCTTTTTTGTTACCCCCCCCCCCCCCAGGAAGCAGCCTGTATCAGCTGTCTAACTCCCAGATGCCTATTTACTGCTAGCTGAACAGGATCATCAGGGTGCCCCTGATGCCATTCTTTCTTTCATGCCCGATGCCATTCAACAGCTATTTTTGGACAAATGAAGAAAACTTAACCATTTACAATTAAGCTAACTTAATCTAGTTCAGCTTAGCTACGAACACCCAAAAACTTGATGCTACAAGTATTACTTGCAGCTGGGGTGCTCACCTCATAGCGGAGGCGGGCGGAACGCAGCCGGAGCTTAACCTAGGCGGTCAAGAAAGCACTGAGAATGTGTGAAGGGTAGGAGAGGAGACCGGTTATATAGACACTCCGCCTCTACGAGTAATGAGGTGCGCCATTTATCTTCGAGCTGGACACCTGCGGCCTAGTTTTTAGATCCTAGTTGAGATGTTGACTCAGTTTGCTTTTGGTTAGCTTCCCCTGCTGCTGCTGCATCGTCAGGCTCAGTTCTCGTGATAATAAACGGCTTAATTTCCACCAGATTAGCCTGTACTGCTCAGGATCTTATTGTCTTATTTAGTTTTAACGGCATTATAAGTCCAGTGTGCTTTTGCTGTCCAATACGGATATTTCTTAAGAATAATTAGCTTACAACTTAAGAACAAGTCTTTTAAGGTCTTTTAAGAATAAATCCGTTACTTTCAACTCTAATACCGGCCTGTAAGAAGCTAAATTAATTGTTCTTCTTTAAAATGACAGGTAAATTATTAATGTTTAATAAAAATGGCGCTGTTTCAGTTGGGAATGTGGACTATCGTATAGTATTTTAGAAATTCACTTGCCACTTCTATATTGTATATGCACAATTTCCTACTAAGCTGAGGAAACATGTCTAAATTCCTATTGTATTCACAAAAGGAGGCTCGACTTTTAAGTTTGATAGATCTATTAATTTATCAAACTTTAATTATTTTCTCAAATGGTTTCAGGTGACTGTTCATGTGTGTTAGCATGCAATGCAACGAATACAGAGTCAGTAGTTGCAATGCTAGGGAAAGTTTTAACTGTTGATCTTTAGCATTGCTTGACACAGGCTCATGAATCCTTCCCCAAGTGTCATTGCTTCACAAGCACAGCCAGGTGTCATTGCTTCACAAACACCAGGCCACAACACAGCCAGGTGTCATTGCTTCCCCTAACACCAGGCCACAACACAGCCTGGTGTCATTGCTTCACTAACACCAGGCCACAACACAGCCAGGTGTCATTGCTTCCCCTAACACCAGGCCACAACACAGCCAGGTGTCATTGCTTCCCCTAACACCAGGCCACAACACAGCCTGGTGTCATTGCTTCACTAACACCAGGCCACAACACAGCCAGGTGTCATTGCTTCCCCTAACACCAGGCCACAACACAGCCAGGTGTCATTGCTTCCCCTAACACCAGGCCACAACACAGCCAGGTGTCATTGCTTCACTAACACCAGGCCACAACACAGCCAGGTGTCATTGCTTCCCCTAACACCAGGCCACAACACAGCCAGGTGTCATTGCTTCCCCTAACACCAGGCCACAACACAGCCAGGTGTCATTGCTTCCCCTAACACCAGGCCACAACACAGCCAGGTGTCATTGCTTCCCCTAACACCAGGCCACAACACAGGCTGTTATAGAATACCTTCCCTAACGAGTCACCCCTCCGTTATACGACAGTCATTTTCCTTGAAAGCCACCTCTTTTTTACAAGTGAACTACGTATTTCACACTGTTTTACATAAAACTTTATATATAAACTAAAAAAATTAACAACACTATCTTATACATATTCCCGCACACACACGTACCATCGATGAAGAATATTGGCAATTCTAAGCGAAAACATCAATCTCTCAAAGCATCGAACACCTTTTCTCGTTTATTTTAGCTTTTAATTTCTCATCGCATCACATTACTTACCTGCCCAACCTGACATATTTCCGGAGAGCAATATCTTGATTGCATGTTAAATATTTGAAAGGGAAAAGCAGGTAGGACCGAGTTCTCTCACGACGATCTTTTAAAAGACTTTAAAGTCTTGAAAGTCTTTAAAAGACTTTAAGATTAAAATTCTTACTTGTAACCAATCACCAAATAAAAACTCTAATGAATTCTTTGCTCCTCGCTTAAATATAAACAAAACATAAATAATTGTGCTTCTCTTGTCGAGAACATGGCCTACCTTTTAATATTTGAGCTAATAAAATTTTTTACTTAACCATTTAAACACGATTTTATTTATCGTGTTTAAATTTAACCATTTTATTTATTCTTCCGTGAAGAATAAATAATGAAGAATACTGAATTCTAAACTATCACTGATCTTAAAAGTGTCGAACACATTTTATCATATATTTAATCTCAATTACTTTCGTAACACATTATTTACCTGTCCAACCTGTGTTACTTACAAACAGCAGTACCTTTCGTGCATATTAAATATTTAAAGGTAATTTAACCTCAATATATATTTTTATATATATTAACTCTAAACTCTAACCCGCGACCAGCTTTTCTAAACGACTGCAAAGAAACCAAATGAGACAAGTCCATTGTAGAGAACATTGCATCGGCAATGGTGATGGCAGCTTCTGGGAAGGATAAAGCATTCCCAAAGTAACTTCTAGCTGTGCAAGCACCCGAAGCAAGGGACTTCTTTGTGGCTATTCCTAATAATGCCTTATTCCTTGGTCACCCGCTGGACCGTTGCGCCCTATGTATTGGTGTTGCCCTGGGCCTTATAATTAACTATTACTTGTTTTAGTTTCTAACTATCAAGTTTTATCTCTACGGCAGTGTTTGTGGATTTCTTTAGACAGCCCTAAAATTTCATGCCGTGTTCTATAATGGACCATTAGCTCTCGACTTCAACTCCTACTTAATCATTTACTATTAACTTTACTATTAACTCAAATATTTTATTCCTATTGTTCTGAATTTTACTATATTAAATTTCAGTTATTGAATTTTTTTAACCCGTTTGCCTTTAAGTCTTGGTATATTAGGATTTGTTACTTAGAGCACGTGACTTCCAGCAACAATTTCCAGTCCCATGGTAGCGTGGATCATATAGGTCTTCTATTCACTTATTCTGCATTCAATTCGTCTTTGTCTCCGAGAAAGCATGTAACCTGGTCGAGAGCGCTTTCTGGGCCAGTTACAAGTGGAGTGATGGAGGCTGGTGAGGTAGAAATATGATGACCAAACCACATATAGAAGCAACAACGACGTTTCGGTCCGTCCTGGACCTTTATCAAATCCACACACGACCTGATAATGGTCCAGGACGGACCGAAACGTCGTCGTTTTCCATCTTCTGATATGAGGTTTGGTCATCATATCTTCAGTCACGTTATTGTGTCTCATCGTCTGCACGAGGCAGAAATAACAAGGACCAAGAGACGGAATTATTATAGTGAAATGTTAGGATAATCAACTCACACTTTAGGTAAACACAAATCACCTCTGGAGATCAATTATTAGGTTTTTGTCGCTATTTTTGGAATAAGGAAAGAAAATATAATTTTCTACATTACTCTTTATTAGCATAACTGTTTAACAAAGCCAGCAATAATATACTTCACTTCATCTCGACAATAATATGCCTCACGTCATCTAGAGACTAAACACTTAAACAGCTTGTCTTATATACTTGCATTTGGGTGAGGTGATATGTTGCAACAGTTTTGGATGAGGTGAACAAACTTTTGACCAACACAAGACAGAACACGGAACATTGGGTATTAATTGGATAAATGAGAGGGAAGAATGGAAGTAACTGCAAAGGGCCTATTGGCCCATACTTCCTCTTGATGCTTCTATATTGGTACGGAGTCTTGAAGTGGGTAGAATATAGTTGTGCATTAATTGGCTGTTGATAGCTGGTGTTGACTCCAGCAATCAACAGCCAATTAATGCACACCTATATTCTACCCACTTAAAGACTCCGTACCAATATATGTTACATGCGAACAACATTCCTTACGTGCGACTTTACTTAAAAAAAAAAAAATATGTTCACTTAAAAAGGAACACCACTTCCTTATTCATATTTACACACTCACGCACCCTCCATGAAGCAGTTTCAGAATTTTAAACGCTAACATTAATCCTGAAAGCGTCGAACACATATTCTCATATGTTTCAGTTTTCATTTATTCATCATATCGCATTATTTACCTCTCCAATTTGTAACAGTTACGAAAATCGATACCTTCCGTGCATTTCAAGAATTAAAAGGGTATTATTTGTATCTATATTTTTGTCTAAAGTAGGAGACTATTCGCTTGGGGCCCCTCACACAACTTTCAAAATTGCAACATAGAGGGTGTGTAAGTGTCATAGTCCCTCTAACACCCTCTCTACCCTATAATATAATATTTTATTTTCATAATGTCTTTCATTTCAGGTGAGTTGACTTATCGGGATGGAAATAAATGGCTTCTGACCAAGGTAAGTTGCATGTTTTAAGCATCAGTATTAGATTTATTAAACTTACATTTTATAAATTTACACTTATTAAATGTAAATTTAAAACCATGTAAATGATTTTCTAACTAAAAGCAAATAAGGTAAAATCTTAAGGTATACCAAGTTGTAAATCCATTTGCATTGCCACGATCAGGTGCTGAAAATAGAAACCACGGCTTTTGGGTCTCTTATTATATCGATAACTCTAGAACCCAGATCCTCCTGGCACCCAGTCTCATGACACTTTTGCCCCTAGGCCCCAAAGGTCTCCTTAGCAGCTGGTACAAATTTGTACTGATAATCCAGTTCTTTAAACTAACTTAACTTGGATGATTGGATGTTAAGGTGGCTGGATGTTAAGAGTGCCATCTAATATCAGACCTCTCTAGCCTAAAGCGTCATTTACACTCGCAGGGAAGGTTGAGACTGGGAGGGCATGTTTGTTTTTTAATTTATTTATATATATATACAAGAATGTAAGTTCTTGTAAAGCCACTAGCATGCGTAGCGTTTCGGGCAGGTCCTTAATCTTAATTTTCCCTGGATTATGACCGGCCAAATCGTCTAACAACCAGATACCCATTCACTGCCTGGTAAACAGAGGTGTACAGTTAATGATTGGTGCCTAGTCAATCCTTCCCCCAGCCAGCAGACGAACCTAGGCCAAATCGCTGGTGAAGCGCGGGGCGAGTGTGTTACCACTGCGCCATGAGGGCAATGCATTTCTGAATCTTGGATACCAATTGATATATAGATTGTGTTCATGGTTGAATGGGTGAAGAAGGAGATGGTTGAGGATATAGGAGGATGATGTGGGTGCTGGAGGAGGGTGTGGGTACTGGTAAAGGGGGTGCAAGCAAGAGTGTGTAGGGACAATATTATTACCAGAATGATGAAATAATTTAATCAATAACTGGGTGAGTTACAATGATCAACTGAACATCACACTACAATATATGAGGAACAAAGTTTCGGGATTAACACAGACCATAATACTGTATAATACTGTTTATTATCCAACAAAGCATATACTTTATTATCTTTAACAAAGCAAACAATAAAATTGCTCACCTTATCTGAACAATACTATGCTTCTCGTTCTTTGAATAATCAAGTGCTTCACGTCATGTAAACAATATTGTAAATTGTATTATTTAAACAAGACTTTGCTTTAAATCATCTCAACAACATTGTGCTTCACGTCATGTCAACTATAATATGCTTCATGTCATTTAGACAAGAATGTGCTTCAAATCATCTAAGCAATAATGTGCTTCTCTTCATCTCAACAATAGTATGTTTCACGCTATTTAAACAATCATGTTCATAATTTCATCTTAACAATAACGTGTTTCACGTTAAATACGAAGCTGACTGCTGAATTTCTGCTTTTGTTTTGATGGCTCTGCTGTTTTTTCGTTGATTAACTTCTAATTGTTTTTATTTTGTTATGGTTGCCTTGTAATTCACGTTGTTATTCTTGGTGTTCTTCAGGTCGTTGGTCGTAATATCGTTGTCATTGTATTTTTGTTTTTGTTATGATCATAGTTCCTAATGCTCGCGACTGTTGCTGTGATTTTTGGGGCGTGGTGTATGAGTGTGGTGACATCTGGGTTTTTTGGTAGTGGTAGGTTTCTTAGTGGTAGTAGGTTTCTTAGTTGTGGTACGTTTCTTAGTGGTGGTAGTATGACACTTCCAACGACCATGCTCGTGGCTATGGGAGCCGTGTTTCCTATCGTCTTTATCTTTTGACCTGTGGGGAGGGAGACAGATTATAAATGCATTAATATAAGTAGAAACATCAAGACATATATATAGATGAATTAGCACAAGTGAAACATGAGGGTACATGAGAATTCTGAATCAGGTGATCTAGTGCGATCTATACCCACATACGGACACATATACACACTGTCACCATTGGCTCCTTCTCTAACAGGAGGCAGTTCTCTCGGTGCTATATGTACCATGTCTAAGAGATAATCGAAAAGTATAGAATAACGAGGTGACACACATGAAAATAGATAAATTTCAGAGGTCGGTCCAGAGGGCGATAAGGCCTTGCATTACTCATAATTGTGTACAAGATGATGGATGTAGAATGGAAACCAAATCAAAATTTTTGAAATAATCAGCATGTTAGGCAAAAGTTTCACTTTATCTACAAAGATTAGTCGACCACATTAGCCTTAGAAAGGGTGCTGCACGGTTCTAATGGAATCCATGCAAGTGATCACGACGTTCAGGGACACTTAACAGGAAATCTGCAATATTGTATACCTGTTCCCATCATCGTCTTTGAAAAGAGCCCCTTCTGGAAGATCGTCCGTATCGCCAAGAGCGTCGTCCGTGTCGCTGAGAGCGTCGTCCTGGTCCTCCAGGACGTAGCCTGAAGTGGCACACACGAAGGCCAGGAGACCTAGTAGCACGAAGCTGTACCTGTGGGGGAGAGGTGAGAGATATGAG